ACATCCGCCGGTGTTTACACGAATCTCTGTTCCTGTGGCTTTACATCGGAACTACCAAACGCAGTTTGAACTCCAGGATACAAGAATACGTGCGTAGCTGCCGCCTCATGCTACCGGATAAATTCGCATTTGCGGAACAAGTCCTAGGAGAGACGTAATAAAATACGAACAAAGTGATGTCCTTTCTAATAACAACGAATTACAACACACAACTATAGGGAGGCTACTGAGATCTCTAAAACAACTTCAACAGAAAAAAGAAGGTATACGGGTCAATAGAACATACCTCTCAACCACGGGAACCAATTAGAACGACCCAGCAAAAGTGTGGACCAATCAGAAGTGAGTTTTTACATAGACACTCCGCCATCGTCCCCACCACCGTCTCCACCATCAGTACCTCGACACATTAAAATCATAAATACGAGTGAAGACGTAGCTCGCCAGTTAGTCGTTCGTTAGACATTGATATATAACCTTCGGCCTCGCAGATGACGCACGTACCACTGATGGATGCCTGCAGCGGTAGCAGCGGCCAAGGCCTACCAGCGTGGATTTGGTTGTCTTCAATCTACTGAAAATGTATTTCCCCCGGCCTATATGGAGTGTTTCATGAGTCCAATGCTACCTTAAATTTATTCTGGTCATTAAATAGATACTTCATTATGTTTCATAAGAGTAGCAGACGGTCCCGTACTATGTGAATCACGAGTTAAATATAGACTGTTTTTTATTTACTCTGCCCACTTAGGTGAGCCAAAAAATGTGAAGTGGTTATTCATATCTACTGATACACTTCATACAGTGAGGTCCTAAAGTAACGGAAATATTCTTTTTCTATGGAATTATCGATGCAAATGAAAAATTCAAAGTTACCGATGTTTTTGACAAGATAAATAATAAACTAGTCAATCGTGACAGATATTTGACTCGAGGGCTCTTTGCTTATATGAAATAAAACTACTTTTTTCTTGAGTATCTAAATTCAAAATTCAACGGGCACACTTGAAGACCGGTTTCGGGCTATTTGGCCTCTCTTCAGTGCAAGGTAGTGTCCATCATCAAACATGAAGTCAATGATTTCCAATAATTGAAAATCGAATTCTGAGTATCATTTCTCGAACAAGGCTGAAACGAACGACAAACAACATAATTGTCATCGCTCTATCTGCCCGTAAAAGAGGTAGTAACCAACCGCGCATCCGAATGGCCAATTCTTCGTATAAGGAAAAAATATTTACATATACTAAGGGGGCATACCTGAAGACTGGCTGTAAATCAAATTATCTAAAAGAAGGTTCAGGCCAGTCTCAACTCACCTACACTGTAGGTTAATGGACTGACACCGCTCAGAAGACAACTACACCCCTGGCTGATACCACGAAGGACGTTGGATCATATCCGACAGGAGTCAGTGCAAGATTCTTCACACAATTAATTCCTGCATATGCTGTTGGCGATAAAACTGGCGGGATCGATTTTCAATTATTGGAACGGAGAGGGATTCAAAAATACATGAGTTATCATCATTTACTAATATTAGTAACTCCAATCTTCAATCACTTCATCTTCATCATTTCAAGAAAGAGAAGCAACATATCTTTCTTAAAATGTATAGTAACTTGATAACAATATTATTTATCTACGGATTCCTGGATGGCAGAAAACAAAAGCAGTTCAACAATTTCTGGATCTGATGTCACCAAACAAAAAAATAATTGCCTATAAAGTACAAAGTGTAAACTTTTAAAATGCACAGTGCAAGCTAACGAATGGAATCTATTTTATTTGGTCTGCACTTATTTCTGGATAGAGAATTCCCCGCTATATCTAAATGTAGAATCCAGAAATATCCAGTCATCATCAATTTATTTCAACTCACTCGAATGTAGGGCATATCGCTTTGTGGAACTGTTGAAATTCCATCTACTGAACTGTTATCATTAGGGCCGTTTTGTTTTCTTTGCACCAGTTATTATTTTCGTATGATCATCAAGTGAATGCTCTTATAACCAACCATGTACTGCATGCATCGAAAATGATTTCAACCCTTTTATTCTTACATTTGTAACGGAAGTGAATGTTTATATGATGCAATTGGTCGATACTTGTTAAAAATCCATAACGCATTCAAGTAAAACTCTATTGTGTGGTTTTCTTTGAACAGTTTACAAAACGGCGACACTTGTTTCGCTACGAAGCGGCTTCGTCGGGCGCGTTCATAAAGTTTAAATAAGCCTAATGAAACACGTGTAATAAAAACACGTGTTTCGTGAAGATCTCACAATGATGTGTTACTCGAATAGTGAATATTAATATTGAATGAGTGACAACGGGCTTCGTGATTGACAGTTCAAAAAAAACTAATTAGTACAGTTTATTGTATGATTTTTCACTATAAAGAGTTTTACAAAAACCGCGACACGTGTTTCGCGACACGTGTTTGCTTTCTCAAGCATACACTGTTTATGCTTGAGAATCTGACTGACAGATCTGAGATCTGACTATTTATAGGTCGTTCGAGTGCTTCCATCTATCCCCTCTTCCCCTTCACCGCTTCATCGGTTTTAGCGGGAGATGACCGTTTGGCGGGAGTTGGTCGTGTTCCGCTTGATTAGAAGTTTCCATATGTTGCGAATCTCTACGCTGGCTTGTCTAAATGCGTTGTTGGACAACATATACGCGGCTTCTTTGAATTTTTTTCTATACCAGTGTTCCTCCTTGTGAATGATTTCAGCTTGAGCCCACTTGATGTTATGTTGGTGAGCCCAAACATGCTCTGCTATTCCTGATTTGCTGGTTTCTCCTCGCTGTGTGTGTTTTTTGTGCTCGGCAATGCTAACTTTCAATGGCCTCTTAGTTTCACCGATGTATGATTCTCCGCACTCGCAGGGTATCCTGTAAATGCAATTCTTGGGATCGCAGTACGCGTTTGGTGGCCTGGTTTTTGTGAGGATGCTACAGATAGTGTTCCCAGATGTGAAGCAGGTCCTGATTTTATACTTGGACCCAATCCGTCTTATCCTTTCCGATAATCCTCTGATGTAGGAAAGTACAAGTACTGGTTGTGGCGACTTCTTTTCCTTGTGAGGCTCTTGTTGTCTTCTAGCTAAAGTATGTTCCACCATCACTTTGGCATAATCATTCCGTTGAAGGTTATTTTTGATGATGCCCGACTCCTTTTCGAGACCTTCCTTCGTATTACAGAGCCCGAAAGTACGATCCACTACAGTCTTGGTGATTCCTCTCTTAGTCGATTGATGGTGGTTGGATTCCTGGTTCAGATACTGTCTTGTGTAAGTGAGTTTTCGGTATACACATTTAGTGTCGGTCCTCTTCACCAATACGTCTAAGAATGGCAATTCGTTGTGGACTTCCTTCTCCATTGTGGAAGTGATGGAATGACTTACGTTGTTGTTCAGGTTGTTCAGGAAGGTGTCTAGTTCTGCATTTCAATGGTTCCATATTATGAAGGTGTCGTGCACGTATCTCAACCAGACTCGGGGCTTGTTGTGGGTTTCTTCAATGGCCAGAGTTTCAAAGCACTCCATATATATGTTGGCTATAACCGGTGAAAGTGGCGATCCCATTGGCGTAAAGAATTCGTCCTTCAGTTGGAAGTAGCAGTTTCATACACAGCATCCTAGTAATTCCATGATTACTTGTATCGGTAAGTTTATTTTATCTTTCAGGTTCCCATTTTCGGATAACTTCCTCTGTATGATTTGAAGTACTTCTTCGACAAGAACGTTGGTGTAGAGGCTTTCCACGTCGAAAAATTAATCAACATTACCGCAACACAGTTTAAGGATTATTGAGTGCGGCACTACATCCTTTAAATAATATTGTGGTCAGCCCAATAACGTAAATTGTGATAAGTTAATATGACCATTCAAGGTAAAAGTAGATTCATGGAAAATGTTCTTTCTCACATTGTTATTGTCATTGTTGGATATACATTTTGTTACCCCGTAAAATTCGTCCTTATACTCAAAGAAGGTAAAATAGATTTGAAAATAACTTACTTCATCTATCCTTGAATAAAAAATGATCACTATTGCTTCAGTTGAACGACTTTTTCACACTATCCACAAGAATCAGATACATTTTCGATAAAAATCAAGAATCTTAATATTTTTTGACAGAGCAACTCAGTTCGAAAAAACTGAGAGAAAAATCATAACGAGTTTTAATTATTTCTGTGAGAAAGCTGAATATTTTCCGCATTCTATATCACATTGAATCCACCATACGATTAACTTCCGAACAACCCCATAGTTTTTCAAATAACCTATGATATTTTTGATAAATCACATATTTATTGAATACCGTGTATATTAACGATTATTTTGAAAACAGTTTCTTTTACACTCTACAACTTTTACTTGTCCTTCAATATAAAAAACATCACTTTCAGTTCCAAATAACGAAGCAACAAATATCCAATATCTGTAATCACAAATTTTTCTTTCACAAACAATTGAAAAAAAAAGATGTATTTGTCTTCTCCCAGTGATATTGAATTACATTGAATTTGTTTTTCAAATTTGAAGCCAAACCAGATATCATCATTCATTGAAAACGCTTACAAACAAAAGAGTATTAATATAAAAGTTTATTTACAAGATTCACTTCCACTTTCAAACTGGACTGGTTCTAACTCCTTACCAGCTGTAAATTGATCACTTTGGTAATTCTGGAAAAGTTTCCATTTTTTATGTACTGAAAGAAAAGTTTGAGATCAATAATACTATCTGTAATTATTTAAGAAGGTGAGGCCCAAAGAAAAACATCCACAGTTTCAGAATTGACAGCGGACAAACAACAGATGTGGGAGTTTTTCGCAACTAAACGCTTCATTTGTTTATCAATTTTTACACGAGTCGATCTATTTACGGACCGTGTACTTATTTGTGACCATACGACATTCTGACAGCTGTAAACACTCATCTGCTCACCTTCATGCATTCATTTGTTTCACAACACCATTCATTTTTCAGCATTTCAGACGCACTTCGCAAAATCACATCAATAGCGCTTTTGTAGAATAGAGGCACCAAGAATCCTAGCTTCGCTCTATCATGTAAGTGTTTATCTGATTGTGAAACTATAGCTCATGGATATTTTGTATTCTAACAACAATAACCCATCAAGTTTTCCCGTCGTTTCCATTGAAATGTTAAAGTTTTGAATTAGGTTGCTGCAATGTTTACTGAATGATGCTTGTTATTTTTAGCTCTTCCTGTCAATGGTTAGCTTTGACATTGAAGTTTGCTATTTGAAAAATTATTAACGATTTTGTAATGCTATTGACAACCTTACTGTAAGAAACACTGATTTTCCAATTGTATAAGTATTGAAATACATGCTAGTTTTGTGAAAATTTCTACTCGATTCTTGGCAACGCCTACAGATCATTTTATTTTCGGTCGTTTCATTTTCACTCGCGCATGAAAATCTGGCGATATCCGCAAATTCCTGATAGATTAACAAAGCGAACAAAATAATTCATATCAACAAATATATGTTGAAAGTAAACAAGATGGAAACTAGATGATAATTCAAGATTGCAAATTCTAGTTTTAGTTTCAATTAAATTAAATTCTCCTTATGGTACATACTTTAGTAATGACACTGTATAAGTAAACATTTTTCGTGAAATTTGACAAGAAATCAACTCCTGAGAGTCATAAATTATAATGAATCCTACGCATATCCTTGTTCTATATAACTGCTTCGTCATCCGTAGATTGTAAATACCAGGCCCGCACTTACCCATTTGTAACAATATCAGTTGAAAATAATCATATTTGTAGACATGATACTGTATGAATTGAAGACTTCTTGATTTAAATGAATGATATATCGAAGTGTGTGATATGAACAATTAGTGGAAGGCAACATTGTCATTTTTCATAAAATGATTCAATAATTACAAGCCAGAATATCACCTACTCATAATGTTTTTTTTTTCAATGGAGATAATAATGATTTCAGGGTTTTCACGAAAAGTATGCCTGCTGGCAAAGAAGGTGACACGAATTCAGCCAATGGTGCCCAACGAACCACGTTCAGGCCGCCTTGGGTCAAAGATGGTCCGAGTCCTTTACCAACACCAACAGCTCCTTGGACACTGAACAAAACCAACAGGAGAGACAGCAACACAACTGAAACTACTTCAGATTATAATCCATTAGGTAAAAAGTTGATTTTAAATTAGTTATTATTATCTTCGAAATGATGAATCACTTTTACTGTTTTCTGGTAAATGAAGGAAAATGGTAGTAGGAGATTACAGCCGGTTCGCGGTCTCCCCCCACCACTACGACGCAATTATTGGTATTTTGAAGAGTTATGATGTTATCAAGATGAACTTGAAATGTCTGTTTCATGTCTGGTACATAGGTGTGAATAATGTCATAGAACCATCCTCCAATGCCAAAGAACGACTTTTGGCATTGACTGCCACACCAAGGCAAAGATCTTCGCCGGAAAAATGCAAAAATGTGTCATTCTTGACTCATTGCGCCTGCTTAGGGCACATAATTCTCAGAGTTCTCAGATCCAGTGATCACTTACACCCACGGTGTGGAAAGTAGTTAGTTGTTGATGAGGCTGGCTTGTACTCCTGAATTTATCCGAGCTTCTAAATCAGGACCCTTCGGTGAAAAATGATAATAATAATAATAGAATGCCTTCATTAAAACAAAAAATAAAAAACACATCAGTGTTCGGGGACGGAATCACAGACGAAACTTTCATATCAACAATACCCACATGAATGTGGGTATATAAGAATAACAATTAAAGAGTGTGAACTTTTACAGTCTGATATAACTGTGTAAAAAGTTTCTGCTGGGTTTGCTGGCTGTGGTATTCTTGAGGTTTCATTATTGTGTCTCAATTCCTAATTGTTGTTAATAACTACTTTATTCACTGGTTTCTATTTCCAATTACGTGAGGAGTTAACACCGGATCGTTTGGAATGTGACTTTTATCACTGTTCATAGACCGCATTCCATATTTTCCAATTTGGAAGCCTCATTTATTCTGTGGCTGTTTCCTAAGGCATGTGGAGTGACACCATAATTCTCGTATCTATGAAATTGAATATGTGAAACATAATCCTTGAATCAGGTTATTATAGTCTGATCATTTTGACCAACATACTTTTTTTCGTAATCCTCGCAGCTCATTTCTCAAATCCCAGACTTTTCTTGGTCTACTGTCCTGTCTTTCAGATTGCCCAATATTTTGAAGTATACGAGCCTTTCTGAAAACCATCACCATTGCCGTACTCTCATGCTGCTTATAGAAAAAGTTGTTGAACTGTTCCAAGCTACTACTTCACCACATAGCTCAGTAATCTCCAGAAGATCCTTCAAATATTCCATTATTTTCATTATGGAGATACTTTGAAATAACGAAGATACGTCAAAAGTTTTTAGAATATCACCACCTTGCAACCTTACATTTTTATTTTTTCGAAGAATTATTTTCAATTAACAACAAAGAAGTAGCTAAAAGTATCGGGTAAACAGTTTCTTCTTAAATATTCGGCTTTTCAAAAAAGACAGACACTCAAAGTTCACAACACGTGTGATGAAGAAAGTTTGCATTTGTGTTGGTTTTGTTTTACGTAGTGAATGGCGGTAAGGGTAAAAGCCTTATATTTATTGTGTGATGTCTTGGTAGATCGATACTTTAAATTTTTGAAATTTGATATTTTGAAACTTGAATCTAGAGTTATTGATATACTTTAAACAAAAACAAAATGCAGGAAAATATGCGAACAAAGCTGAGGTGGATCGCTAGCAATGAATATTATGAATGGATCCCTTTGAAAATAAATCATAATAGATTTATTAGCAGGTGTTGCAAATGACTTACAGTTTCGAAGAAAACAGTAAAAGTTGGTTCAAAATTTTGTAATGAATCAGTGTATTTCAACCAAGTTATCTTCTGAAACTGGTTTAGAAGCTATAATATAAATACTAATAGTTCGCCCAATTTCGATAGTATCTTTAGGCACCTTTCATTCAATAACAAATCAAATTCGACACTGAAATTCATTACATTTCACTCACATACTCACACCAAAAGGACCAAAACATGTACATGAATGGATTTACAGCGGAAGTACAGTTGAGAAAGGCCACGCTTAAAAAAGCGCCCTCACAAGAAAATGGAGAAAGAGAGAAAAAGAATAAAATTCTAGGTAATGTAAAAGTGCTTCAATGAAAATTTGATGAATATTCGTTCGTAATTTAAAAAAAAATTAATTTTGGCTTATGAATGTGCTAACTGAAATAACAATTGGCTCAATGAAAATTGTTTGAACCGATAAGACGATATAAAAAAAGACTAACTCAAAAAATGTGAACTAACTTTTTCTAATGTGAAATATGAATATATAGTACAGTGTGTCGATTTTGAAACGTAGCACCTTCTTTATTTCAGATCTCATAGATAATTCAAAAATATGCAAAAACACGTCAAACTTTTTTTGAGGGGGACATTTTGTAGGCCAGTTTTCAAGTGAATCACATCAAGCCTTCAGCAGGGGCGAACAAAGCCGCTAAAATCTTAAATACGATTTTTTTTTAATTTGTATCGCCGTCGGAAATGATTGTTACGTTTACCTTGTTGGTTTGACGATAATTGACTACACTGTATAATCAAACTCAACTTTATTCCACTACCACACTGCCAATACAACCCAAAAACTTCAACTGAACTACAGACTCATACTCAAATGTCAATCGTCTCATTGGCACACTTCGTACCGTACTTTCAACTAGACTAGTCTCCTCTGCCAGTGGGTAGTGCTTATATATAGATGGGAGTCTTCGGAAGCCGATAGGAATATTTTCGAAGCGACGCGACACCTAGAAAAAGCACAAGTAGAGTTGAGTACGATCATGGCCAAGTCACAGTCGATCGATGAAGACCAGCGGCGGCCGGCGTTATTTTTTTCAAGGGATGATTTACAAAATTATCATTTGAAATTATCCTATATTATTACTTGTATGATAGTCACGAATTCCAAGTTAGTTTTAGAGTTTTCAAAAAATAAAGAATAAACGTCAGTTACTAATTTGGTCTCAGGTAAAGCATTCTTGAGTTTGTAGTTAGATCATTCTTCATTTATAATTGTCAAAATGATGATTATGATTGCCAAAATTACGTTATTGTAAAATTCAGTTTTGCGAGTTCCTAAATTACGTTTAACAAGTGTGTTAATACTTCGTATAAAAAACTGAAAAACACAAGAAGAACGATACAATGTTGAATGTAAGACAGCCCAACAGTATTTAAATCAGAATATGTCCTGGAATCAGTTGCCAAGTTTGGTGAAACCGGTTTTGTCGCTAACAAAAAAGAATGTCCTTGAAAATAAGTTTGACGTTTTTTGTATATTTTTCGATTATCTAAGAGGCCGAAATATAGAAAAATTACACCCTGTATACTAAATAAGTTTCCAAGAAGAATTTTCAAAAGTTTTTCGAATTGAACCTTTAAAAAAATCGAAATGTTAATGATCCATATGATTGTCATATAGGATAATAATTCTGTAAATATCAGAAAAAGTACCATTTTTATGAATCAAGATTGTGTTACTTCACACACTTATTTCAGGATGAATACTAATAATGATGAAATACTATTCAAATAATCCCTAAATATTTTCTTGAGTATATCTTTTTTCAAATTTTATATATTTACCTAAAGGTGTCGTCTCATTTAGACAACACTTATGAAAAACATTGTGTTATTCAGGTTTTTTCGCCCATATATTTGATGAATATTCTGAATATCCTGTTACATAATGAGTTTCACAAGTGGCCTAAAAAAATTAATTCAATCTCCCTCTATATAAAATATTATAACCATGTTATCAATCGGTCATAATATTATCGCCGTTCAGTATAATAATGTGTTAATTACAAGTATACTTGAAACACAATTCTACCTTTTTACAGATTATTCAAATTCCTCATTATTTTCAACTCGAATGAATTTCAAACATGCCGACACTGTCTTTGAGTCTTCTTAAGAAATCATAACCTTCTACTTAGCAATCAAAAACACTTACACCAAGATTATCATCTAACACAAAATATCCTAACTTGTTGCTAAGAAACTATTTTACAGCTGGAGTGCAATTGAGAAAAACAAGCATTCAAACTAAGGAGCCTCAAGAAAATGGTGCCAAGGAGAGCTTTTTCCAGAAACCTGCTCTCAAACCAGTGCCACAACGGGAAAAAACGCCTCCCAAGAAGGATTACAAACTGCACAATCTGCCCCAATTACAGAAAGTTTCGGAAAGAGTTTTGAAAAGCCCTCCAAGGAAGCCATCCGTTGCGAGTGATGACACATTCTCATCTGATGATGAAGCAGAAATTGATAAGGTGAGAAAAAATTGTAGAACCTAAGACAGAAGATATTTGTAATTAAATATGAGCAAATACAAAATTCCTAAATATAAGTTCTATAAGTTGTTGACAAAGCATGTTAATGAGTACCGGAAGTCAAAAAGTTTCTACCAAAAATTCCTTTAAAAACTTCCATAAACTCAAAGATGGTGTTCTCTTCCTCTTGAAGATGATCACTTGATGATCGAAACACGTTTCGAGATGGTAAACTAACGGAAATAGCGTTACAGTAAAATTCAAAAGCCGTTAAATTAATATGGCGACACAGCTGACGAGTCATCCTGATTTCATCCAGGTTTGGAGACCAGCTCCCCTACCCTTTTGGCTGATTATGCTTCCACCTTCTAGGGAAGTGTCTGAGGGCCAACGAACTGTTGATTAGACTTAACAAAAATTCCTCCTCCATAGAAGCCGGACGGATGTCGTCGTCGTCATCTTCCCTGAGAAGAATATGGCGACACAAAACAACTAATGACGATCAATATCAAAAACAAAGATCCTAACCTTTCAAAATGAATCTGCTGCCATCTATGCAACATCGACACAACTAATTGATACTTCCGGGGGCTTCCGGTGACTGTATTAACGAAATATACAAAAAGGGCGGGAAACTATCAAGATACATCTAAACTTAGTTGTTATTGTCTATTACAAAGACGGTTCGAATAAAAAATTCGTACAGAACTTCAGTTCTCCATTATCAGTCAACTAGATTGTACTAACACCGAAATCATTATCAATGAATCTGTGGGAAACGTTCAAGTTCCTATGTTTAACCTTTCAGTTGCGTCTTAAGGAAATCAAGTAAAATAAATTATAAGGTTTTTGAGAGTTCATATCACTTACGTTTCATCATTATCAAGTCGTACTCGTTATAAATCACATTGAATCCTTCTAGTTATTCAGGGAATCTCTCTATTATCAGTCTGTATACTCAGATGACCTGAAATTGAAATGGAACGGATTGTTTACGTCTCATGTGATGCCATTAGCAAGCATCACTCGGTTTATTTTCATTCAGTACTTCAATAACTCGATACATTTAGCGTCTCAATCATCTATGACTCTTTATGTGCCAATGGCAGATTCGAATCTATATTTATTCCTGCTTCCTGCCGATCAACTTCAATCAGTTCGGCGAAAGTGAGCCGTAGAGCTTAAGTCTCGCAAAAAAATCACAAAATAATCGTCCTTCAAGTTTTTATAGTGATGCTGAATTTAGTGAGGTAGTTGAACAACTTCTTTACCTATTTTTAAATAAATTCAAGGTAGGTTTTGTTTGTACACTCAAAAGGGTTTATTAATGTTTGATAAACGATATCTATAATGTACGAATATGAGTCTAATGTATGGTGGAAAGGAACAAGTCCAAAATAAGTAAGAGGTTACACTCATCAGCGAGAGAGAGCACTACTAGTAATCTCATTGAAAAGGTTAAGGGTGGCAAACTGTTTTCTATGTTAATCTTTCTTCAGTTTCATCACTCTTTCTTTGTATTCGTGAGATAGACCCTGAGATGAACTCAACTCACTATTTTTCAAAAAAGTGATAAATGTCTTTACCAGTTTCTTGGGAAAAATAATTCGATTAAATCTTCCTCTTGAAGATGATCACGTGGTGATTGAAATACGTTTCGAAGTGTTAAAAATAACGGTTTGGTGTTTGGTGGGACAAAACTTCAGTAATATTAATTAAGACGATGCTTTTCAGGAAGTTCCTACCAAACGAAATGCCCTTGTCAGAGAGGCGTCCATGAGACGATTGTCCAATATTCCTGCACCTCCACCACAACCAGGGATGCCTCCTCCTCCACCAATGATGCCAGGCGAAATACCCAAAAAGCGTCTCAATGAAAAGCAGAAAGAAAGGCTGGATAAGCTCAAGTAAGATATGCAACATCAGCACACAAATATAAGTACAAATTGAAGCGTTTTTGTTTTTTATTCGAAGACTCTAAAGTACAACGGCAAATCATAAGTACTTAAAATCACTTCAATCAATTATATCACTTATTTACTTCGCTTTGCTCTCGCTCTCGTGGCGTAACTCAAAATACCTAAATTATTTCCAGTGAGGTTTTCCATGTCGAACAACCTCTTGAAGGTCAAAGAAAACCAAAACCTTTTGTCCAATCATTTTTTTGGCTTTGGGGGTATTCAATCTGGAGTGATTCAGTAATGAGTTATTGTTTAATGAATAAGCTGGTACTGACTTCGAAATGTGCATGAATCATATGTTTGTCCTTCTTAAGTAGTGTATACCACATTCTGTAGACGATATGTGGTATTCAGTACTCAAGAAGGCCTGAAATAGACTAGAATGTTGACTCCGATCGATATCATACCAGAAGCATACTTGTCAACAACGAAGACCAATGAGACCAACTTAGAATAAGTGCGGACCAATCAGAAGAGATAATTCGTATGGACACCCCTTCTCCATCCCTATCATTCCTCCTACCACGCCATGGAAGTGTAAATACGAGCGTACCGGAGCTCACCAGTCAGTTGTTGCGGAAGCTTCAAGATACTACTTTTGTTCTCGCCATTAACGGTTTCACCATAATGTGAGATACCAGCAAACACGTACCTAAGTTTATTTCTCCAGTATCTTCCAAATTAAGAACTTGTCGAAACTTTTATTATTGGTTTCTGAAATATGCACCCTCTCTCAGGAACTGAGATTGATTGAAACACGAACCAAACACCGCTGGATCCGAAATGGTGGATGGACAAGATAGGTCAAAGTAACCCCAGCTAGGCTGGTCAAGGGAAAATCGCAGTTACAGCGTTCGGAACAACGGGAACAACAACTCAAGCACCAATTCGGGTACTGAAACCGTTATCATATCACCTTTGGTAATGTCTACCGTCCTAGTAGGCGAAATTTCAGGCATAAAAACCTGCAGACCACTTGAATTGATATCAAGCGGTGAATTGCCGCAGTGGTAGTGCCTCAGGGGTCGTTCGATCTCAACTTCGCCCAGATATTTTTCACGAGAAAACTTATCTAGTTGAAGTTAGGATTATTCTGCAACATGGCTGACGTACTGCGAATAGTCATGATGCTCCCTTGGTGGCTCGGGGAGTTATTAACATTGCCTACCCAAAACACGAAGCTAATGATCAATGTAGTCCATGCCCAACGACACCAAAAAAAAATAACAATACCATTTTGTAGATTTTCATTTTCATCCAGTACTTCAATTTTGACCTTTCCCAGAGTGAGTTATACAGTATTTAAAGTATCAACTGGATATTGACTACACTAGTTCGCCTTCATTCCATTCGTACTTACAGGTCAATAGTCCATCTGTGTCTGAGTTTCAGTTTGTACCGTTGTAGAATTGTTAATACTTCACACAACACAAGTCGTGAAATTTTGTTAGCCTGTTTTATGACTGACGGATACTTTCTGTTTCAAAAAAGAAACTAAAACGAAAGGAACCTCGACAAAACGGTTATGGCTTTGGCGGCCGGGGTTTTCAGTGTCACTGTTTTTCTGGTTTGAAGGCCTTCGATTTTTGGAATTTTTTCCTGACATTTCGCTAGCGCGAGTGCGAGAGCGAGACAGGACACTATGGACAGGGGGAGTCTGGCCAAATGCGCTCGACTGAGAAACAACGGCCAAAGAAAGTAAAGAAGAAGAAGCTAACTTTAGGGTGTCGGTTTTTCGTGACATTATGCGCGCGCATCGTAAAAATTTACTCCCATCATTTTTCCCTAACGCGCCAAAAGAAGTATAACTTCAAATGAAAAACAAATTATCTATATGAAGTAAATAATCATTCAGTAATGCTGTATTCCTGAAAAATCTTGCATTGGACAGACTCTCTTATGAGTTTTTTTCCATTTTGTTTAAATTCAGCGGAACTTTCGTAGTAAGATTAAAAGTTCAAAGTGGTTGTCGAGGTGTTTCTGAGATTGACACTTCATAAACTATTGACCTGTAAGTCCATTATCTGCAATTCATACGAATTCATATCCACACGTACAGATATTTATATCTCAATACTATTCATTTTACTAGTATTTAGGGTGTAGATACAGGTGAGAAGGAAAAAGTATGGATACAAAATAATTTCTTAGATGGAGTGAAGGCAATAAAATGTGGTCATTGTCTCTCTCCTCAGGTCTAGACCTAAAAATCGACCAGATTGGAACAACCTACTACAAGAAATCGAGTCAAAGAAAAAATTGAAACATGTAGTATGCAATGACAGGTCCCAGCCCCTTCTACCAGAAGCCAAAGCTCCGGATGAACACTTTTTGTACAAGAGCGAAGAACCAAATGTTCACAACGTGCTTCTGAAACAGGTAACTAACGGAAATACGGTGGGTTGTTGAAAATAATTCGAACTCTTGCAGATCGAAGGTGGAATCAAGCTGAAGAAAGTAAAAACAAACGATAGAAGTAAACCATTGCTAGATGGCCTGCGGAAATTTAGGAGGCAGATGACCATCGAGGAACAAATCCAGAAGTCTATTTCAATGGCTAGTATAGCACCAGTGAGTTACGAATTTCAACCATTTTTTTTCAGTATTAACGTTGTATTCTACTTCAGGAAGAAATTGCGGACGAAATTGACGAAATGGATGATATAGACAAAGTTAGAGACGATCTTCAGAGTACAAAACAAATGCTAGCCCTTGAACTCAGAAATAAAGAAGCTCAAGAGAGAGAAAACAAAAGACTGTTAGCAAAAATACTCAATCTAGAAGCAGAGTTGGAGAAAGAGAAAAGCAAATCCAAAGAGGGTGGTGCTGAAGTTTCTAGCAATACAGCTGACGAAAAGGTAATCACATTTGACCATGTGTAATTTTCCATAATGGAAAAATACTATTTCTAGGTCATTGAGTCGTTGAAGAAAGAAGCAGAAGAAGCCAGGAAAACGTCGGAGGATCTTGAAAAGAAATATATTTCTGCTGCTGAGGAACTCGATTCAGTAAAGGCGATGTTGGAAGATATGAAACGACAGAATCAGATGTTGGAAAGGAAGATACAGGAATCCGCATCAGGTAAGAAGAAAAACCTTGGTTTGGAAATATACTTAGTAAGTGATTTCTAATATATGTTGTGTATGGTTCGAAAAAAAACCCTTCACCTACAGGTAATATACCAATACAGATTTTTATCAGTATTTTTACGTTTTTACCCGAAGGTTGACCAATAATTGACTACATTGAATAATCAAACTCAACTTTATCTCACTTTAAATACAACAAACACTTCAACTTAAACTTCAACTATTATTTTAATGTCTATCGCCTTGCTAGATCACTTGGCGTACCGCACTGTAACGTCCACTTGACTGTGTCGATATGCTCGCGGCTTGCGTTTAAATATCGTAAACGAATGCCGTAGAAATTTCGCCGAAGTTCCGTCGGAATCGGAATGCATAATGTGCCCTGCCGCTTCTAGAGCGGCAGGGAACATTATACGTTCGCGCTCTCTTAGCTACGTCACGTTTGGTTTATGGTTACCAGTGGCGGCCGGCGTTATTTTCTTTCGGGCATGATTTACAACAGTATTAATAGTAGTATTGAAGTAAAAAAGAGGAGTTGCTCGAACAAGTAGATCATAAATTAATTGAAAAAGTAGGAAAAGAAGAGAGGGGAAAATATTAAGGAGTTGACGTCTAGATGATGAGGAAAATCTTGTCTGGGGTTCTTGAATTCAGGTTCATCTAATACCATTAGCGAGTCAAGTATCTGACTGAATATATTCTGACTGAATATATTCTGATGTTATTTGACTTCTTACATCTAGAGGTTTGGTTTTTGCTTTTCGGAACAAGAAGCTCATATTTTGGTCTCTTTGCACATTTATGAAAGTCTGATGTAATTGAACAATTTCTTAATGCATGAAGATTGGTAAAAATCAATGGGTGTCTTTATCGGTTTTAAACGTGCAGTTTTGTGGTGGTTTTGATACGTTTGCTTCGGAAATTATTATTTCAACAATGTTGACGTACTGATGCAACCATTAGCGTCAGTGGGGGTGGCACTAAAGTTATATCATTCGAAAGTTGAAATCTTGAGACATTTACTTACTTCTATAGTTACGCCTTCATTGTTTTTTTTAGTTATATGCCGATTGGGTCCTTGAAGTTTGTATAGGGTCTTGCATTAAGCGCTTTTTATCTTCAAATTTGAATAAAACAAAGCGTGTATCATAGACATTTTTTATTCGGTTGAAAGACCTGTTGATGCCATTATGTGTGGAATATACCTAACATTATTCAAATGTCCGCCACAGCTTCTCTGGATGGTTAGTGGCTCATTGCTATGCATTTGCGACCCATAAGAAAAAGTCTAACGGAGTCAAATCGCACGATCTTGGTGGCTAGTTCACCTCCCAAATCCTTCGTGCAGAATATCCAATGTGGCATGAATTGTTTGGCAGGTAGCGCCGTCCTGTCGAAACCGCATGTCGTTATTGTCCAAATCATCCGATTCAGGGCAAAAGTACCTATAGTGCTCGCCGTTGACAGTCATGGCCTGGCCAACATCGTTCTCAAAGAAATACGAACCAATGAAGCCGCCAGCCCAAAATCCACACCAAACAGTGACTTTCTCGGGATGCATTAGACGCTCTTGCATCTCATGTAAATCGGTATCGTTCGAAATTGGATAATTTTGTTTGTTTCATAATTAGGAACACTTGCCAACTGCTCCAGATACCATCCAGCAAACACCAGTCGTTGTCTATGGTAGTTACCTTCAGTTCCTGGGTCAGTTGAATTTGGGCGCAGGCCCAAGTCACGACGTAAAATTCATCAAGTTGTGGCGAAGGGCCAAGTTCTTGTGAGCGACGCGAAATCGACTGCCTCGAATTCTTCTGCACACTCTCACAGACAGCGGCGATGATTTCGACAGACGTTTTGTCGACGTACGGGTGTTGGTTGATCGTCTACTGAAGCAGTGGACTCACATTTATCTGCCACGTTGTGAAATAGACTAAATGAATGACAACTATTTTGACAGATGTAGCTTCAACAAAATGCCCGTTATCATTTCTCAAAGTTAGGAAATCCATGTTGAAAAACTATAGATAATAAGAAAAATATAGACTATTCCGAAAAATGGCAATTTTATTTATATTTCAACTTGGTAAATCTGATCCTTGTCGAGAAAGCAATAATGGCGGTGGTACATCCAAAGTATTATTACCATAAAGTCACCAAAGCTTTTGTGAAATGATAAATATTTTTTGAAGTGTTAAAACCTCGATGGATATAACCACATATTGCTTTTTGAACGGCCAGATAAAAACAAATTTGAATTAAAAAATAATGAAGGAATAGTTTAATGAAAATCTGTTCTTTCCGAAAATTGAACTAGGTTAGATTGAATACTGAATACGATATTGAAATAATGTTACTGTTATATTGGGATTATAATTTTTATGTAACTATATTGCTTGATTAACAATTTTTTTTTTATTAGGAATATCAACTCGCAATAAACTTGAAAGTTATTGGTTTGATGATAGTGATGACGAAGAAGGCGAGTACGAACATTCAATACAGTTTGTCTATAACATAAAATGTCCTTTCATCTGTGTTATAATGTGTTAACGACGATTTTTTTCTGTGTTAACTAGCAAGTTGGTATTGTTTGAATAACACACGTTCCCAATCAATATATCTACGATCAATGTATAACTGGTTTGTTATGCAAATCTCATGGTCTCATATAACTTTTTTTCAAAGTCTATTTCAACATTCATGAAGAGCAAATTATGTCTGCTGTTTGGCTATACCCAAGTTAGATGATACCAAATTTCAAAATCATTGCATTCATGATGTAATACCAAACAACAATATTTCAATCAGCCATAAATCTGATCAGTGGTTCTCGGCCGGATCATAATGAAATGTTAATCCTACGAAGGTGGTTCCAGAAGTACCCGGCCTCACCTAGAGATGGCGGTAGTTGTTAGAAAAATATCACTGTACTAGAAAGTACACAATCTATAAAACATATGTTTCAAGTTTGAAGTGCTGCGTTGTTTAGTGTTTGTTTGGCAGCCATCAATATCCAACGTTTTCGGTGAATTTGTGTAAATGGAGAACTCCAGAAACGGTGAAGAAAATCCACAAAGCGGTACTGAGAGTGCGCGAGCTAGCAGACCTAGTAGGCCTTTCAAAAAGTGCGGTACATCGTCTATCTGTGAATTTGGACATGAAAAAGCTGTGTGCAAGATGGGTGCCGCGTCTGCTCACACTCGAGCAAAAACAGTGCCGTGAAGTTGTTTCACAGCAACAAAGCAGGTTTCACAGCAACAAAGCAGAATTTTTGCGTCGTTTTATAACCATGGATGAAAATCTTGATGCAGACATCAAGTTTTTTATGTACTGACCGAGCACTTGATTTTCTGATCGTAGCTTCAAATCCTCTTGCTTCACGTTTTCCACTCTTTGAGAAAGATCATCTAATGTGTTTCGAAACTCGAGCACTTGGGATATCAGGCAAGCCTTTTCTTCTTGTTCGTCAGGACTAGAATCGGGTTCCAGACGATTCTGTTCGGGCTAGAACTCCCGTAGGTGAAACTCGATTGTATGGAATCCATACTTCTGCCACGCATTATACTAGGACATCCGACATCGAATTGGTTTCGGGTTCGTCAACTATGATAACATTGCGGATCATCATCACCTAGTGGAATATTATTATCTTCTTGTAGTTTGATATTGGACATCGGTATTTCTATTATTGGTATCTAATACCTCGTAGTGGCAGTGAGAATAAAATCGAGTCAACATAAATCAAAAATGGGAATTTGTTCCTTGAATATCATGAACACCCCGTTGTTGAGTCCCTCGTTTTGAGTCTGGCTCAAGTTTCCTGTCATGTTTGACTCAGAAGGGTTCTTGTCAAGGACAATCTGCAAAGAAAACAAAAGAAAACAAAAAAAACACAGAATTTTTGAAAAAAATTATTTATTTTTCAACATAATCTCTTTGCAGCTCTATACACTTTTCTCAGCGACGTTCGATACCGTTTTTGTGATAAGAACTCTTGCTCCAATTATTGACAATTCTCAATAAACACAAGCCAAGATTTAATCAGACATCAAAATTGGGTAGATATTTCGGAACCAACTTTTTCTCAAAGCATATGCCCCATACGTTATTTATGTTAATAAATGTCATTGTATTGTTTATGAAGTTCAAGTAGAGTGGAAGCTGTTTTTGAAATAAACAACCGTTATACAAATTATAATAATAGATACTCTATTCCAATCAGGGAAAACTACACCGTCTGAACCAGGACGCTTTTGGTTTGATGATATCGATGAAACGAACAATGAACAAGGCGAGTAAAAAATGTAGGACCTCAAATTCACCTGTTACGTCTCCTATTTGTTCTATAAATATGTAATTTCTCAATTAATTCCCTGATTATCACTGTGTTGATTCGCATGTAGAACCCATCGAGTAGGTACCTACATTATGGGCACTTCAAAATTTCAAACTTTTTTCGATGATAACCTCATTTCAAGTGAGATTCTATAATAGTAGGAGTTGTTTTTGAAATGTCCATTTAAAAACTATTATTGTGATTAATAGTCTATTTTAAATCAGGAGAAACTACACCATCTAAGTCGGGAAGCTTTTGGTTTGAGGACACCGATGAAATCAGTGTACAAGGCGAGTAAATCAATGTGACAAAAAAATGTGACTTCGTTTTTAATTGTGTCGTCTGTTTTGTACCAATATTCTCGTATAGGTACGGATATTAGAGAATATTTTTCAAATAATTTATTCAAGGCGATATTTCTCCCAAGATGCACAGACACCGCTTTTCCATATCGAATTTTGGTTGAATTACATTTCAACTCCTTGAAAACGTTTTTTGTTGAAATTTCAGGATCTCACAATATCCCTATCGGTTTTAGTGTTTCTGTCTACAACTTAACAGAATAAGTAATAGTAAATGCTACATTACCTGAAAATCAATCCAATAACCAGTAACTAAGATACCTAAGAAAAGTGTCCAGTTTATCCAAATTATGTTAACATAACCACAAATATTCTTCATTTGATCTTTTACTATAGGTTTGTTCTGGTTCAAAGTTTGTACCGTTCCGAATTGTTTAAAATCAGTGAGTCAACTGTGAACTGAACAGGTTCACGCGACAACATGCTCAGTATTCAGTTGGGTAATTGTTTTCTGACTGTCAGGAACAGTCCGGGTAGCGAACTAGAGCAGGCTTAAAGGAGTTGTTCTGGTACTACTGAAATAATTCAATACAATAAAAAAATTATTAGATGAAAGTTGGCCAATATTCTAGGCATAGTTCTTGTATCATAGTCTTAGTCTTAGGTACTGTTTTGTATAAACTCGTTATAGATTAAGAGAGACGAGAGAAATAAATAATACACATTAAACATAAGAGATACGATAGTTTTACATATTGGCCCTGAACTGGCTGTGGGACTATCAAAATGTTTGGTATAGATCAAAAAGTGAAGACTACTGGGGTAGTTATTATCTCATTGAGTCACTCATAGAAAAAAATTAATTTTGAACTAATAGATCCGACCTCTGAAAGGAAAACGATTTCAACTGAGAAAGTCTCAAGAACTTCATCTAGGCCATTAACGTATATAAATCATGAAAGTTCTTTAATCGAAATATTTTTTTTTTGAAATGTTACTTCTCTTCAATGAATTGTACCACGGAAAAGGGAAAATCACTTGGATTCATCTGGTATCTCTACAGTGCTTTGTCTAGTTGTTTTTGATGTCGAATAAGTTTGATTTTTTATTACTCTAATAATTTCCAATGCCTGTACAATTGACTTAATTGTTACAGGTAAGAAAATATCCATCTTAGATCGCAAACAGAGCAATGCTAAAGGTGAAGGAAGTGACGACGATTTCGAAGATGAAGAGCCAGAGCCAGAAAGCGACGGAGAAGATACTGAGGAGAAACGAGAAAAACGAGCTCAAAAGGAGTTGAAAATGCTGACTAAAAAGTTACAAAGCTTCAAAAATAAGGAGGATAATGCTAAAAAAGAGCGAGTAGCTTTAAGAGAAATCATCAAAAAACACCAAGCTGCAATCAAAGAAGAAAAAAAGAAATACGGACAACTGAAAAAAGAAGTAAGTCTATTTCAAGCTAGTTTACCAATCGTTCCGTTAAATCACATATTTTAGGTGGATAAAATGGCATCTTTGATGAAAGACGTAGATGAAGATGAAGAAGAAGAGGAGGAAGAAGAAAAAGATGTAGAGGAAGAAGAATGCGAAGAAGAGGAAGAAAGCTCTGAAGAGGAAGAAACCGAGAGTGAATCTGACGACAGCGACTCGGAGAGAAGCCAGAGTGAAGACGAAGATGCTCCTATCGAAAAGAAGAAAGCAAATCTGACTGCAAGATCGAAGAGACACGAAAATATACTTAATGCGCTTAAGAAGGGTAATTTCTTATTGAAAACAAATGCTGAACGGTTGCAGGACGATTTGAATAAACAGAAAGAGATGACTGCCAGTTTGCAAGAGGACCTCGATTCTGTTTTATCAGAATTGGGTTAATTGGTTACACAGAGTTTTTGTGGATTATTTAAGAAATTGGTTGTTAACATTCAATCTTGAAAACTATGAGAAGTGTATATAGTTTAAAAGATATTTTAATATTTAACGGTATTATATTGGCAATCATCTCTATTCCTTTGGTGTTATACATAACTTTGGGTTAGTTCTAAAATTTGAGTGTTGTGATTAAGTACAAATGAATCTATCACTGAATAGGAAAATAATTGAAGAAGTGATAGTGTTTATTCCATATCCCATAATTTTTGTTGATTCTCTCAGAAACCTAATATTATCTTTGGAACAGCCATTTACAGATATTAATTTCATGATTAAAGTTGTCAGTGTAAATATATTTTTGTCTAGAATTAAGAGAATAGTTGAAATTTTTATATTGTTCATATATCACAAAACGTATGTATTTATTTGCTGAAATAAAGTGTGATATGCTTCATTATTATTCGATTGCCGTTCACTTTAACCTATTTGATAATATATTAAAAATTATGTACTGACCAATACAGTACAATTTTAACATTTCAATTATTATTTGTATTTTTTCTTACACTGATACGTCCCGCCTCCCAAGTGACAGAGTATTTTACACGCAAACAAGGAATAGGGGCCCCGGATTCAAGGCTTGCCCAAGACCTCATTGGTAGGGTCTAGGTACAATAGAATGTTTCAGGAAGATAATGCGTTATTAATTCCAACAGATTTGATAGGTTTCCCAGTATCAAAGTAAAATATATTTGAGACTATTAGGTTATGTTATTCTTTCACTTCTATAATTGTTTATTCTGTGGTTTTGCATTGACGCCACTCTGCGTCAATGGTTCCTTCTAAAAGGTTTGTTTAAGTTCAGAATTCGATACAGTTTGATCATGTACATTTTTTTAACTAGAACTCATATGTTATCGTTTTTACAGTGTATTGATTTTTAGAACCAATTCGAGACTGATCCAGGAGAACGATATTCTCCATTTCGGACATTGGAGTAGGGATTAGTTAGAACTTCGAATTCGCACGTGCGAACTAATGAAATTTTTCATTTGTGGTGTATAACTCATAGAAATGAAGTTATATACTTACGACTAAAACGCACATCTACATGCGCGGATGAATGACGAAAGGAGGCAGCCATATTTCTTTGGGAATATAAAATCTGCAATAATTGAAATGATATATATACGTAGAACATTTCGTATCATAACGTAGTTCTTGGAAACAATTCCAACGAAACAAAAATTACTACAAGTCACTACTGGAACCTGGCAACGTAGACAAGAACCGTGATGAAACAAACAAAAATCCCTGATTATTGACGATAAAGATGCCTGTAAACAGAATTCCATGTGTAAATATCGTCATACGGCTATGCTGTCATCTTTGTTCCGCACACGTACTACACTGATGAAGTAATAATATACTCAACTTCAGAGATACTCTTTCATCCAACACATAATTCATATTCATCACTTAATTTGGATGCGCATTGGACTTTGAAGCATTTTAGACATTAGTATGAGATTTTATTTCTATGGTATAAATGTACAATCTCTTGTAATTACAATATGAAATGAAACAACAGAAAAATAATGGCAATGACCCAAATACCGAATCTTTGGATTTTTCCTTCGTAAGAAATGTTATAGAAAAAAACTGTTCTGTGCTTTGATTCTATGTCAGTTCGAACGGTAGTTGTTGTAATCTATGGTTCGAACAATTCCCTAAGAGTTTGAAATATAAACCGAAACAAACTAATAAAAAAAATAATAGGTGACAGATAAACTGACAGATGCAGTTTGACAGCAATATAGTAATTTCTGTTATTTAAAAATCGCCAAAAGGTGAAAAAATGGCCAAATATTTTGGTTTAGATAGACTTGTAACATTTTGGAATACTGTTAAAGAAGCTGGCGGCATAAAGGCTTCTTTGTATAAATTGTACAGGTAAGTATATCTAAAGGTTATGTAATTTGTTTGAAATAAGACACTCTCAAGTGTGAATAAATACTAGTACTAGGTTGATAATAAATAAATATATTCGTTCAAAAACGGTTCATTTAATATCTCATGTGATGACTTCATAAAGAACAAGTATTAAATAGTGTCAACATGGGATTCATTGAAAATTTAAATATATTATCAGGAATGCCCAATGGCATTCCTAACAATGTAGATTTTCAAAAAGTTTTGAACTTTTGCCTATTTTTTTGGTTTTGTACATTTGTCTAATAAGAAAATTTCAAATTCCAATAGAACTAAATGAGTCTATTTAAGGATGGATAACCTGCGTCCTGGACAACTTGTAGGAACCGACAAGTATGGTAACAAATATTACGAGAACCGCAGCTACTTTTATGGAAGGAATAGATGGGTAGAGTATGCACCTTATTATGGTAAGTTCGAGTAAGAAAAATTGTGATACGTGCAAGAATTTCAACCGATCATCAGCCCAACATTGATTTCATTTCATTTTTAGCCTTGGAATATGATGGGAGTCAAATTCCAGCAGAATGGTTTGGATGGATGCATTACAAAACAGACTTAACTCCAGACAAAGATCCTTCTAGGCCAAAATACAAGTGGATGATGGATCATACAGAGAATATGAGTGGTACACCTGGGCAGTACATGCCATATTCAACAACCAGACCCAAAATTCAACCGTGGATCCCTCCCAAGCATTAAGAGTCTAAGACATATTTAGTTTGTTTTAATTCTTGTAAATGTATAAAAAGATAATATATGTCCTCAGCAAAGTGTGTGCCTCATTGTTCAAATTATGTGAAGCTATGAAGCTTCATATAAACTGGTGACAAGTAAACCTGAAGGTAAACTGCTTTCCTCAAAAACAACCCTTAAGTCAAAATTCGAGTAGGAATTGAAGACGTATTACTTTTTATTGTGCAATTTCTAGTAGACAAATGCAACATATTATTTAGAATAACTTTAAAGGTGAACTTCTTTGAAATGATAGTGATGTAAAGTCTGTCAGTTTTTATTCAATATTTCCAGAAAGCATTAAGTTGGAGGGAAAAATGATGGAGAAAAAAAAAATTATAACTCGGAGTAAATAATTTTTCAATAATCTTTATAACTTTGAAAAAACCAACCGAGTTGGCTTCGTATGTGTTCCCAAAAAATCAGGAAAACTTCCGGTAACACAAAATTTGGTCAGAAAAACATTTATGTCATATTTCTGGTCACAGCCGAACAAATTAAAATAGTTATAATGAACTAGAAAATAAACCTCTGCTGAAAAGTTGACGACTATCCAAGTTTCAAATCGATATCTAAGTCTATTGAAAAACTAGCGTATGAAAAAGTCTGGTCCACAGAATTCAGCAAAAATCTCATCTCTACCAAGGCAACTAGGTACGATTATGGAATGCATTTTTCTACGAACAACTTCAGTGCAATAACTCTCGCTCCTCAGTTCACAAATATGAACATTTCAATGTTGATTTGAATAAAACAAAAGTATTAAAAACAATTGTATATTTACTTCATATCACATATTTTACAAACTTACAAGTTATATTTGACTAAAATGTTTGATATTGAAAAAATGTTTTTAAATAAATATATCCATCCGATCCTCATGTTGTTTTATCAGCCTCCACTGTTTTGATATGAGTGTTTACTACGTGCCTAGTTAGCGATGACATATAGTGATAGGAGCAGCCACAGATATCACAACTGAAATAAACTATTTTCATTTGTTGTCCCAATCAAACATTCTGTGTAGGCGTGAAATTCCTCAAAGTGATTGCTTTATATTGTTGAGTTTCTCATGAAACTTTTGTCAGTCACAAAACAATAGCTTTGTTTTTAGAAAAAAAAGGTAGAATTTTTTTGATAGGAAACAAATTATTAGTCTTGAATCAAAAACTGACCGAAGTTAGTTCTAAAGAAGTTACTTTGTAGTGAAATGTAAATATGTAATTGGATCTCAGTATCGATATGCACTACATAAAAGTTTTTATCTGAGCAACTCTCACAACACAATATTCTCTCAGAGGAAATCATAAAAGTCTCCAAAACAAACAAAGATTTTCAAAATCTTCAGACTGGAAAACAAGCTGTTTAAAACAAATTACCTGAACATTTCTGCAGATCCTTTGTGTATTTCAGCATGTCTTTGTAAATTGGCATATCTTGAAAAGGAACGTTTGCAAATCTCACAGCCGTAAAGTTTACTTGTATGAGTTATGTTCTTATGAAAGTTCATATCGCGTATACTGCAGAAGGCTTTACTGCATATTTCACATTTATATAATAACTTCTTCAAAACCGGTTCGCTACAACTGGAAAAAAAAACAAATTGAAATGGTATCTTCAATCTAATCATAGCGTGTGATTTCAAAACTTGGACATCCAAAATTTTTGATTCGAAGATAAATCAATAATTAACACTCATTCATTTACTGATATATATATTGTTTAATTTTCGAGAAGCTTGACTGGATTATGTTTTCTTTCTAACCAATTGATTTTACTATAAAAATGAATATTTCCAATCGACATTTGAAACATTAACCTTTCTCAACATTCCTTCACGGTAGGATCCGGCAAGTGCATGTCGAATAACAACTACTCACTTAGCCAATACCACGACGAATATTGGATTATATCCAACAAACCATTTTTGTTTGGGCTTCTCATTTATCCAGCAGCAAATCCCCGCTGAAATTAATTGAATTATCACCTACAGGTCAGTATCTAACTGAGATAACAGCGCTGTCTGTTACGCAGCTGATTTCACCAATTTTCCACCGCACATTAAAACTCTTATCTGAGACAAGAAGAAGTAGTCCATGTACCAAAACTCTAAAAAAATCCTAGTTTCTCATTTCAATTCGAGATATTTATTCAGATTCATTTGAAATCAATTTGACTTTGTACCAAGACTCTTACTTTTGTAGAAATGTAGACAGTGGCATACGGTGGTTGTACTCTTGAGTCAGAAAAATGTTCACAAGTGGTACAAGCTACCTGCGGAAAAAAATTAAAATTCAACAAAGTCATTACCTGTAATCTTGAGTATCTTGCTGCTCCAAAGCCTCCAATTTATGTGTTTTAGTATGTTGCAACAGCAGATCTTTACTAGCGAAAAGCTTATGACATTCATCATTTGCACAAATAAATAATTTCCCCGTCTTGGTATGTTCCTGCTTGTGCTGTCGAACATCTTGTATACTTTTGAAGCTTTTCTCACAAACGGAACACTGAAAATGTATATTCTCCAAGTGATCTTTCAAATTACGATTGCTTTGAAAATCTTTATGGCACTTGAAACACATGTTCTCCGGATCTATTACGACCCGAATCAGTCGTTTGTTGTTTTTCTGAAGGGTATTGATTAAGGATACATTTGTCACATCTTCATATCTGAAAGAAAAATTCGCTTATAAAGCTTTAGTTGCTCTGTGACAAAAATTATATATAAAAATGTTTGAAAGAGTTTTCAACTATTTATTCAAACATTTGACAATTTGCTACACTGAGTGCACGTACTAAGTCAAAATAAAATACAAAACAACAGAAGAGCAGAACATAACAAAAAAACAATAGACAATGTGGTTTTAATTTACGTCATCAAAACTTTCAGAAGAGAGATTTGGATAAAAAAATATAAATGAACCACAATCGTAGAAGCTATACTAACAAATGCTTTCAAAATGCTGGAAGTGTCATCCGAAAAAAAATATATAAGATCAATATTTTTCGCTGAACTTTGAAAAAAGGGTTCATTCATCAGGAAGTACCATCAAAGTATTTCCATTTCCAAGGAAAATCGAAGTTTCAAAATTAACTGTGACGTCACTACCATTGAGACTTATTCTCCCTTTTAAACCACATTTCAAAATGTTTATGATTTTGGTAACGTAGAAAAATACATGAATGAATATACGAATGAATGAATATACAGTAATACTCAATCAAATTACTCAAATAACAAATACTACTATGAAAAACAAGCTGGCAACTCAGAACAACAATAATGGAGGAAGAAGAGGAAAATTGAATTATGCAATATGAATGAGTTTTACAGTGTTACACTCAATTTTAAACTACTGACAAAAAAATTGTCAAATATCAGGTCCATTCAAAAAAAAAAACTTCACAATGAAACCACTGTGTGAAATTGATATTTTTTTAAATAATTTGAAATTGACCTTGTCTAGGACACGTAAGAAACTCCATATTGTTTGTTATAAAGGGGAGTTTTTTACAGTTCACAGAGCTACATTGATAGTGTACACTAGTAATGTTTATGAATAACTTAACTGGTTTAGTGATCCAATAATTTGTTATAGAAGGGTTAGTTTGATAACAGAATCAATTTTTCTTGAATAAACAATTGTTTTCTTGTCAACGTTTCGAGTTTAACTAAATTCTTCTTCAGGACTTGAAAAGGAGTTTCTTCGTGTTGAAAATATAATTATTTTAAAAACATCAGACATATCAGATATATAATAAAAATAGAAAATACTAAAATAATAAAATTTTCAAAACAAAACTACACAAAGGAAAAAAACAAACAAATGTACGAATAACCTTGTTACTTATTTTATGTAAACCATGTAATACAAGTCTCTATACTCTTCAAGGAATTGCATTGGTTGATTCATTGAACTTCATTTCCATTTTGGTATAAATTTGTTGTGTGGCAGAATAAACTCTTTCTTGCATTCATAAAATAATTCTGTCATCAATTTTTTGTCGTAACGACAGATTCATATATGAGATTCATAGATTACTCACTTGCAAGTTGAAGAATTGATTTTTTTGTCCTGAAACGATCTGCTCTGAAACAGTTCCTCTACATTATGATAAGGTACAAAAGACCAATTTTCCAAATAATTCCCATGTTCATCATAGCCAGACTCAACTTCCATATGACCGCTGCAGTGGAAAATATTCTTGGTGGGCTCTTCGGAGGACTGATCGTTTCCTTCTACAACGCTGATCATTAGCGTTTTTTCTTGCAGTTTGGTCTTCAAATTGTCGGTACTCATGAGGTTCGTAAGAGTATCTGCCATCTGTCGAAAAGAGGCGGAATCTTGAGAAATTACATTGAGCAAAGGTGGGGGTTCCACCATGCTTTCTATACTTCGACTGTACATACTGTGGTCATTGTTCACTGAATCTATTCCACACGCTGTAACAATGAGAAAGACATATACAAGGCGGATGGCTTTCAAGAATTTATTAATATTTTGTGAGTAAATGCCTCATTTTCGAAATACATGGTTATTTCCAAAATTCCCTGACATATTTCAAAGAATTTTGAAACATTCAATGTAGCACGAGGTGTTCTCTGATATGAGTATGTTGCAATTTTGCTACTTTCTGCATCTTTCTTCAAGACTAGTAAACAAGTACAATCCATTTCTGAAGTGCTGTTTGAATAAAACTCATCCCCCAATATAACAATTCATGCTGAGTCCTTAAGTTTAGTCTAGTTTATTCCAGCACTGGTGTTTTCATTTCAGTCAATTCTATTATTAGCTTAGCTTGAGAATCCATTCGCTAAGAAAATTATTACAAACGGATTTGGATGTAATATACATATAAAACATTTTATTAAGCTAGTCACAAACATAGAAAAAGTTAGAGAAAACAAAATTCGGGCTGTTAGGCCTTGGATGAATGGTACCAAGAGTTTCGTCCGCGACTTCGACATCAATGGTATTGATGTTGTTGAGACTTCGAGATATAATCTTCGTCTGAACAATGAACGAACATACCACTGATGTCTGTCGCAGTAGCAGACAAAACTTCTGGTACAAATTTTCATTCGACCACTGTCTACTAGCTTCTTTAATCGTCTTCCAAGCAATAAATACTTCGATAACGATAACTGATTGAGCTTTAGAGTTATAGGGAAGAATAGCAAACCAGGAGCAGGACAAAGGAATATTTCATTATATTCTTGCTAAAGTTATGGTGTGCAAGTAATGTGAAAATCTGAATTCCATTCAGTTCAATTCAAACAAAATGGTTCATTTCTCGAAGAAAAAGTACGATAACTTATTCAGGCTATCAACTGTTAAAAGTGCCTGAAGAAAATTTTGTAAAGTGAAACACGTTTTGTTGTTTTATAAACCGTTTAGTAAAATTACCACAATGAAATGAATTTTCATAAAGTATAGACAAAATCCATTACATAAGTTAGAAATTGATTGAATGTGCAATTTAGAAACCAACGGATAAGTCGAAAAGGACATCTGCGGTCTACAAGATCAGATGATCTCACATCATCAATTTTTTTTTTGATTGTGAAATCATACATCAATGAGTCTCTCATACAGAGTGCAGAAGACTGTTGTTCATATTCATACAGCTGTAGCAGGAATATTAGCAATTCCAAACGTGTTTTAAAATGTGGGATAAAGAATGAGATAAAGGTCTGTGCTATGTAGAAATTTGGAAAGTGGTCATTTCAAGCAGATGCTCTAAAAATGTTTGTTATGTTAAAAAAAAATCTGAATTTTTGTATTGTAAAATGTATTATTGAATAAAGTCCCCACTACATCCAACTGAACTCGTTTTTCATGGTTTTCCTAATGAATCTTCAACCTAAAGTAGGTTCGAAGATCGAAGTTAGATATTACTTATTTTGCCATTTTCTCAAATAATAAAGATTTTTTTTCATACTCAATCGTCATGAAGTATTCCTACTACAAGTCAACTTCATGAATGAATGATAATGATAATTTTATTAGTCTTTAGAAACACACAGTTTTTAGACACGTTTGAGAGGATAAGATTCGTCAATACAATTTAAAAAAAATGCTTGTAGATACATTAGATTTACAAAAAAAAAACATAAACAATAAACCCTTGCGGGTTGCCGTGGAGGGTCGAATAGACCAACTCACTTTTGACCTAAAATGTAAAGCCATGAGTATTTTACAAATTATAAATCATAGAGACACATTATATCTATTATAAGTTGAGTAGAAGTTCCTCTTTCTTCTTGAATAACTTGGATGTTTGGTTAATATTTTCTTCAATAAGTTTTTGAATCTTCTAAATGGCAAGTTATGAAATTCGACAGATAAGGCATTGTTTAATTCCTATATTATCTGTTCTTTTCAACCTATTAGCTGTAGGAACAAGGTTTTATTTATTTCTCGTATTGTGTTGGTGTATATCCGTGTGAGAAACTTTATTCACAAAGATTTTCATAAACAATAACTGAATATAGAGTCATTATTTCAGGTTTTAGTTGACACTTTTCATCGTAATTGGCAGAGATTATGCAGATTTTTGAATGGCAAATATTCTATCAAGACGTACCTTTGATGCATTACTCCAATTGATTATGACATACCTAAGGATTGAATAAAAAATTGAATATGTTGCAAGTGCCTTACTTTGATTTACTGTTTTTTTAATTCTTCTGATAGCAAAAACTGTCTTTCTGAGTTTACTACACATGCTATTTATATGGTCTATCCATTTCAGAAGTTCTGAATAATGAAAATATAACTATGAATTCCTGAGAGGAATATTCTGTATCAATTTGGCACATATTTTTAAAAAAAAAAAGGTTTATTGTTCAACAGGAGTAATCCCAATTACAAGACAAATATAATTAAGTTCACAGCTATGACTAAGTATGAGTACAATGGAATATAACGAATAGCATATAAAATCAGCAGAGTAATAGAGTAGTAATAATAATAAACAGCTTTATTTCAGAGTAGATTACAAACTTTTATTGCAAAAGGTCGGTAACATAGAATGAAATGGCGTCAAACAAGAAGGTACAGATTTTTTGTTATAAATATTTTTAAATGAATGTTCCAGTGAGATATGCGTTCAAATCACAGGGCTCTAAGTCTATGAGAAGTTTTTTCAGTTCTCTTTTGAAAACTCCAATTTTCTTAGTTAGTTTTAATCTGTTAGGAAGATGGTTGAAAAGCTTGATTGACATATAGTGGTCACTTTTTTCAGTTACTGTTAGTCTATGAAGGGGATATATATATATTCATTTGTTCTAGTGGGATACTTATGAGCAGGTATATTTTCAGTGAAGAGGTGTGAATTTTTATAAATGAACATTAGGCATTCATAGATATAAATCGCGTAGATTGTCATTATATTGGTGGATTTGAATACTGTTCTGCAAGTTTGGTTATAATTTAAGTTGTTGATTCCTCTTATTATTCTTTTTTGAACTATGAATATTTTTTCGATATTTCGATTGCTACCCCAAAAAATAATTCAGTATTGAGCAACCGATTCGAAGTTAGCCGTGTATATTGTTTTTATAGCCTCGTTGTGCAGATATTTTGATGTAACTCTAATTCCGTACGATATTCCTCTTAGTTTGTTTGTGAGGTAATCAATATGAGAAGTCCAATTCATGTTCTCGTCTATGTGGATTCCTAAAAATTTGGTGTTGTGGGACAGTTCAAAAGAAGAGTTTTGAAGATCCACCCTAACTGGATAATCAATGTTGTCTTGGTTTGTTCTGAACAAAATCATATGTGTCTTCGATTCATTTAGTACAAGTTGATTTTTATTGAACCAGTCCTTAGTTTTGTTGAATAGATCTGTACTATTCAACATCATCTCTGGGAAAGTTTCACCACCTGATATCAGACTTGTGTCATCTGCGAAGATAGTTTTGAACTGTTGGTTTAGGTTTAGATTACATAAGTCGTTCAAATAATATATATATATTCTAGCTTTCTAGGAAGGATTTCGCCAACACTTACAAAATCTACAAAAATTATAATATGTAACACACTTATATTACCACATTTTGTGCATCGATAATATATACTGCCAATAAAAATGAAATGGATAGATTACAAAAACAACAAAACCGAGCCATGAGGATCATATTAAGAAAACCAAGAGAGACACCAATCAAAGCAATGCTGAAGGAATTGCAATGGATGGCTGTGACAGATCTCGTATATTACTATACAATGATAATGATATATTTTATTAACACGTTGATCCTAGGCAAAGACAAATAGAAAAATATTTCGTTTCTACTACTTCGTCTCGGTACGTGAAAATCTAGTTGAGATAACAAATCAGGGCAGTCAACCAGATTATGAATAAATTTATAAATGAAGATACAGGCATAATATGTTCTTCTGTTTTCTAAGGATAAGAGGGCAAATCTATTTAGCAACACTCTATTATCAATTTCTTGGGATGGGTAAGCTCCATCCAGTTTGTAAGCCATGTATTTCACAAAGATTCGAGTTGCTGTATATGCACATTGTATATAGGTGACCAAACCACCCTGCGTAAAAAATTGAAAAATATGTTGAAATAATTACCACCAACAGCAAGCGGTACAGTTGTTAATCGGTCCCCAGAAGCCCCACTGCAGCCATCTGGGCTCTTGCTCTGCTGCGAAGGTATTTGAATGGGCCCAGCATGTGTTTCGTTCTTGCAATCGGGTAGAAGCTTTTTCTGATTTTCTTTTTTACTGGATACTTCCTTGGTTCCTACATGAACTACTTTTCCAACCAATCTTTTACCGCTAGACGTCACGCCCAAATTCAATTTCATATTCAACAACCCTTTCAGGCTCTTTTTAACCCTTCGTTTACGGTTGTTTGACTCTTCCCCTATAAGCGTATATGGATTGCATGTCCCAATTTTTTTCGTTATTTTCTCAATATAACCCTCCAGTGATACAGATTGGCCAGTGAGGAGATTCGTTCCTCTAATGTTCGACACATCTAGAGTTGGCACGTCAGAACATTCCAACTCACTTACTTGACCTGCTTCAGCCGGAACGGTTTGAATATGTAGATTGCCATCTTTCAAAATAGCGTATTGGTACCTGATTGAAAATTAGGGTGGTTAGAAATATAACTTGAGCCATTTTATAAACATGAGGTGTAAGCAGAGATGAGAAATAAAAATTGAGAAGGATGGAATTGAATGAATAATAAATAATATGTTAAAGCTACTTTCCAGATGTGTGACATGGCTTTTTTCGACTGGTTCAACTAAATTACCTGATACGAAATTATTTCTGCCTTCCGCCACTGCTGATTCATCGGTATGCCCGACTTTTCGTCTACGACTGCTGTAGTTTCCCTCAAAGCAGAAACTACAGAATTGATTTGGTGTGGCTCCATCTCTATTGTTTAAATCAAATAACCTGGTACCAAAACAATCACGTTCTGGTAGCCATATTTTATTAATGTAGATTCCAAACGTGGAATGGTTAACAAACCCAGAAAACAGCTTCAACAGTTATTTTTGTTTACATTTCATTCATCAGTTTTAGAGATTACAGTTAAAGTAATATTAAAAAACATCAAAGATTACATATGTAGTCAATTCACATACCACATTCAAAATTGACAATTTTGAAAATAATATAAATTAAAATATTGAGTAAAAGTGGAAGAGTATAAAATTTTTCGATACTATAAAACATTTTCGACACAAGAAAAATTTTGAGATATTTTCTGAATTTGAAGTCAGTAGTTTCCTTTTTAGTTTATTATGGGAGCGTTTTATAAATCCTCACACCACTGGGGATGGATCCCCTGAGAGTTACATTCAAATTACTTCAAGGTGTTTTTTTTTAGGCGGTGAAAATTTACACTCAATTCAATTCTGTCCAATAGATGGTGATGATGACATCCTTTACAACGCCATCTATGGAATTGGTAGAAAACTCAAAACATAAATATTAAAGATACAGGAGGGTGCAAGAGAAGCTCCTTTGGGACATGGTGAAATAAAATGGGTGATTCTTTTAACTATAAAATGTGTTGAGGGATTTTTGTTTTCCTAAAAATAATGGATTCATTGGAATATACTTCTGATACTCTTCATGCATCAACATGGTTAATTCAATGCAATGTATTGTTACATTTTCAAATCACTTTGAATAACATTATTCAAAACATGGTTCTAAAACGAAATTTGGAATGAGGATCAAGGAAAAGACATTTTTTCAGCTTTCTCAGAAACAGTTTCATAATTTACTGTTGAATCTTCACATTTATCAGTTATTTTAAACAATTTCAACATTCTCCTCGATATTGGAACATTTTACTTTTATTTAAATATTATCAAAGTGACTTACTCATTCTGATCCAAAATGTTTGCAAAATATTCTTCACTTTCTTGTTTTGTCAATAACTGAGAGGGATTTATCACTTGAGTTTGATAATTTTCCTCTTCAGGCTCAATAGATTGAGCTATCTCGTAATTTACCAAGTCTTCTTCCTTGATGGGAACGCCATCTTCGTTTACATACAAAATGTTCGTAGGTTCGGATACAAAATTTCCTTCGTCATCAATGTATTGAATTACTTCAGTGTCATCAGTTTTTTGGGCATCTGTTGTATTTTCTGTATCTGCTATTAATATTCCACCTATAAAATAGTAACATCTACAGATTTTTATGTGTATTCATTTCCAATTTGGGAAACAATCTGGTAAAAATTATTATCATTATGTACTAATTGAATTGTGATTACTGTTGTATACAATGTATTGAAAAATAATTTGAAGTACCAGCTTTACTGAAGAAGCCACTGTGTCGTAGAACATGTTTTGATTAATGTCCTTAGTGTGAAAATTGTACACCTATTATCATGAACCCCAATCAAGTATCCATTACAAATTCAAAAAATCAATAAACCATTTGAGTACTTCCTTTACCAAGGAAGCTACGATGTTAGCAAAACGTGTCTAGAAATTTTATTGTTTGTGAAATTTGTTTAATAATTATCATGGATAGCGTTATCAATTTTTATCAAGAAACGAGTCAGTCCATTCATAATTTCAAACTATTATGTTTAATATCCTACCATCATTAGTATTGATCAGGTATTGACTAATGTCATCTCCTTCTTGTAGAAATATGGTTTGTGGGTCTGACTGCAAAATGTGTCCATTTACAAGTATAGCTCTAGTACCATCTGAAAGGATTACCTGAAAGAAAGCTTTATCATGACGAATTAGGAATACTTTTACTTGATTGAAAAATATCATGAGTAGTACCTACTTATATACAAGAAGGAATATTATTACCATATTTTCAAATTATATGTACCAATATTTTGAAACTTTAAATGGTTTGCTGTTTTCCATTTGTCAAATAAATTTACTTATTTCCCACTTACATCATTCAGGTCTTCACCTTCATCAGTTGTATCTAACACAAAGTCATCATCATTGAGAATATATTGAACTCCTTCATTTTCTTCAGTCGATATTTGAGACATATTTCCTTCCCTGTTTTCTTCTTTTCTGCAAGGAGGAAATTGATTTCATTGTCGAGAAATATTATCATCTCCATTAAAGAACTGAACATATTAATTGCAGTTAACTTGGAAAATAAAAAGAACAAAATTTATACAGTCAGAATATTCGAACATTTTGAAATTTGTTCGATCGGTAAATAAGCTTGCTTACCCAGTGAAAAAATAATGACAGACAACCCCGTCGGTATAAATGTATAAATACAAAATGACAGAAAACACGAAAATTACCAAAGATCAAAAATTAGAGTAGAACCATGATTGGAACACCCAATGTTATGTAATGAAGGAACACAAAAGATGTGTTCGTTAAGTCTGTTGAAATTTGTTTTTTCGTTAACCAGCTGTCGTCCCCCTACGAACGACAACTCTCAGAAGTCGAAACTTGTGCCAACTGAGGATTAACGAGGTCTTACCTTTCGACGTGCGATTTCTAGCACATACATATCTAAGTACTCAATTATCTCGCTTCGCTCAGTAAGCGTTGGATAATGCAAATCTGTTATCCGATATGAGTTTATTTTACCTTTCCATCACTATTTTTCGAAAATTATTGTTTTCATTTAATCATTATGAAGTGGTGCTTTTACACTTTTGATATCACATATTGTAATATCACAGTAAATAAATGAATAGAAATAGTTGATATTTAAATATTTTTCATTACCGTGTCTGCCAATAATCAATATTTTCCCCGAGTTTGATATTTGAATTATATAACTTAGATATCGTCCATTGCTTGTTCCAAAAATTCGCCCCAGTGCAAGTTTTCCTTCCAAACCAAAAAAATTCTCTATATGTCAAATAATCTGTGATTTAAAAATTGTTGCCAGGTAGATATTTTCATTATCATTTCTGTTTTATTGCTGTTATGTTTTATTGAGCCTACGATTAACACTTGTACTGGATTTTCAATCGAATATGTGAACTGATACTTTTTTTACCAACGGATAATAAAATTTATACTCGTCTCGCACTGGTTTTACCAATGAAACACGCTAGACACAGAGGAAGAAAAACTTTTGCAACGTTACATCACAGAATAGTAAACAATGACATTTATTGTTATAATGCCATTTCTATGGCCATGCCACAGTCCCACAGTGGAAAAGACCACTGTGGTTGCTCACAATCTCCAGTCTCAAATCACAAAAATTACGTTTGTCCAGTACATGAGACTAATGACAAAGTAGTCGATGCCATTATGTTTCTTCTGGTTTTCAGTTTGTACTGTTTAGAATCAGTGAGTCAGTTGTCGACTGAAAAGGTTACCACGACAAAATATTCAGTATACAGCTGGGTGACTGTTTTCTCACTGTTAGGAACACTCCGAGTAGAGAACCAGAACAAGCATATTGACAATCAAGGAAAAAACTTACTAATTAGTTGGTAGTCTCTGCTAATTAGTAATTAGTATCTTGTCACTGGACCGTATACAGGAATAATATGACTGAAATGCAGATATTTAAAATTTTGTTGAAAGAAGGTGGTAATAACAAAACCTTCGATTACCCAAAACAACAAAAAGACTCGGCAGACATCATTGCCAAAAACCTCACAAATATTATATATGATTCACTAAAACAAAAATCTTCTGCTAGTAATATCAAAAGAAGAAATGTTCTGGTAAGAAATTTGTAGATCAAAGCATTTAAATTATATACTTTTTTGTAGAAATTCCTGAATATTATAAGTGAAGTGAAGGAACAACATTCTAGTGCTGATGATTGGATCCAAACATGTCTTTCTAAAATTCGAAAAACCTTTGAAAATGTAGAAGTATGTAAACTCCTCAATGAATGCAATGATGAATTTCGGTCTTTCAGTTCTAATACCTTTCCTGATAACATGATTAAATATCATGAAATGAAAAATATCAAACGAAAAAAGAAGAAAAAGTACTTGGGTAGGTTAATATCTTTAAAACACATCTCACCCAGATGGATGAGTATTTATTTCTTATTTAAACAGACTTCATAAAAGAAAGGGATCAACTTCGATTAAATTCCAAATATGACATACAGGTTGTGAAGAAAATTTCTCATTATGAAGTAAATGAAAATTTGATCAAGAGCTTTGCCCAACAAACAGACAAAACTTCAAAAATTGTGAATACTTTGTTTCCACAGCAAACTGATAACAGAGAGAAGCAGATAAAGTTGGCATATGCTCTTCTTAATGTGGAGAATAGAGCGGATGGTATTCTAGAAGGCATCCTCTTAAGATTAGCCTCATATACAGTATTGACTAATTATGAACAAACTTTCTTACAAAATCTCTTCGATACAGGTAAGAAGGATGCCTAGATTATTCCAGAGTTGAAGTGAATGTTTTTTAGGGTACTGTCTTGATACCAAAATAGCAGCATTCATGGACCGTTTCTTTTTTGTATTGGAGAAAATTATATTGGAACACGCTACAAATCTCGTTTGTAAAGAAAACGAACTGGATGTGTGCCAGTATTATGTGAATCTGGAAGGTGATTACAAGTTTTTGAGGCTAAGAGAAATATGCAGAAAAAATGATATAGTTGGATTGAAACTGAATACCTTGATATATGAATTATATTGCATGAGTTGCTGCAATGAAAATATTCTAAAGTTGAATGATTTAATTTTATAAATATGTGAAGAAAAGATTATATATTGTTCATTCGTTACGATAATTATGTGAAACTCAGGTTTGAATATGCAGTCAAGTGATGAACTGAAAATATGGCGTAGTATAAGACAAAATTTGTTTTCCCACATCAGACAAGTGGTTTGAAGTTGATTTATATTGATTCACAAACTTTTTTCCTTTTTTATATTGAGTTTATTCCCTAGGCATGTGCTTTCTACCTGTTACAACTTGTAAAAATAAAAACATTCCTCAACAACGTAGATCCTGGGGCTAAAAAATATAACTGTAATGGATATTCAGTTTGAAGAAATATATTTATTAATATTATGTTTTTTAATAAATACCATTGGGTTCTCTTTGATATGATTTGCTATATTAGTTTTCTTAAATTTCTATCAACAGGCTTGTAAAATGAATAAAGACATTATTTTTCGTGAAGAAGTAAATGTTCTTTGATCATTTCGGGACTTTTAATTTTCCACAATACTTTGAAAAAAAGCCAGGTATATTTTATTTATAAACTGACTGATTAGGTTTATATTATGCAGACACTTTCCGGAGTGAATTCTGTCTCTTATTACACCTGAGTAGATTTCCTGTGATCTAAATTTTACAGATTTTGGGAGGTTAAAACATCAAAAAAGATCAATAACATAAAATACCATTTTTTGAGCTTTATGGGAGGAATCTGACACTGTTCTAAAGTATGGCACTGGTATGTCACTTGGCGTGACAGGTTCCAGAAAGTTTATCAGTCATTAATGATTTTCGTAATTGTAACTTTCTTATAGTAGTCAGGCAATAAAAAAGACATTTTATTGAAACAACGAAAAAAATAAAATAATAACTACATTAAAAATTACAATAAAAATGAAATTCAGACATCCCATTATAAAGGTAAAAATAATCGATTTCAAAATAGAAAAGTTTAAAACAATGTAGACATTAAACATTGTTGAAAAAAATTAACTTATGTCCTGTCAAGAATTAACATAGGTTTATTTTCATAAAGAGACGTGAATACAAACGAACGAAGTTTGTACTGGTTCTATTGTATTTGCCATTTTTTGCTTTGATTGATTCGTCATCTGTCAGAGTTCCTACAAAAATGGCGTCTATCTTGAAGTTGTCGCAGTCTCTGGCAAAATTATCGAAAAACGGTAGTGTTATTAAGGTAAATTGTTGTTACTGTTTTCATTTAACTTCTTTCTACATTCTTTCCATTTATAACATTCTTTGAAAGGAAGGAAAAAAATCATTATATTCGTTACGTAACGTAGTTCAGATCTGTAGTACTGAATATTTTACAGCCCTTAAAAAACCTCAGAAATGCTTCGACAGCTCAAGCAGAGCCTAAACAAATTGTTCTCAATGTTCCACCGACCAAAGTTACTACTTTAAAAAATGGTAAGTTTCAAAGTATTATTTGAGGTTATCTATCTGTCATATTCTTTCTGATTATGTCATGATGCAAAAATATTTTTTTTAATTTTAGGCATCAGGGTGGCCACAGAAGATTGGGGTTCACAGACTGCTACAGTTGGAATCTGGATAGATGCAGGAAGTCGCTATGAAAATGCCAAAAATAATGGGGTAGCCCATTTCATGGAGCACATGGCCTTTAAGGTAGAATATTTTGCCAAACTTTTCTATTGGGAATCGCGAGATTTTGTCACTTTTTTCTTATGGCTTACGTAATTAATTTTCTGAAAAATATTATGAATCTGAATGGTTAGGAGACAAAAATATGTTAATTATGGACTCTTCTTTAATTTTCGAGAATCTCATATTTTTGTATACCTCAAAAACTATATTTAATTTTTGACATCTTAGGGCACTGGTAAACGAACACAGAGTCAACTTGAAATCGAAGTAGAAGACCTCGGTGCTCAACTGAATGCTTATACGAGTAGAGAACAAACTGTCTATTACTCCAAATGTATGTCAAAAGACGTACCAAACGCCATTGAAATTCTTGCTGATATTGTGCAGAATGCCAAGTTGGGTTCAGCTGAAATTGAGAGGGAGAGGGGGGTCATTTTGAGAGAAATGCAAGAAGTAGAGTCTAATCTACAAGAAGTAGTTTTTGATCATCTTCATGCCATTGCTTATCAAGGTACCCCCTTGGCAAACACTATATTAGGTAAGTTTGTTACAATTTACTTACTCAATCTGTGTTAATATGTATTTAACTGTCACTCAAAAGGATGCAGAAACTGAATTTAGGGATATTTTTAGGTCCTACTGCAAATATCCAGTCGATTAATGCAACTGATCTAAGAAATTACTTAGACAATCACTACAAAGCTAGCCGAATTGTAGTTGCTGGGGCAGGAGGAGTCAGCCATGAAGAATTAGTAAAACTCTCTGAGAGTTGCTTCAGCCAGTTAAGTAAGTATATATTTGATCTTCTATTTATTCTATTTATCTAACTGGCAGCATTCAATATACAAACATGTTTTTACAAAGGTGTACATATATGCTCACGATTGAGATCAAGAATGATAACACACCTATAAACTAAGATCAAAACCAAGGACTATTAATGAGTGTAATGTGATACACATATATACATGCATCTATGTATTGTTGTTTTTTTAGAAGCGATGTCGAACTTTAATCTGAGCTACTTTCAGAAATATTGACTCAAATTTCATTAGCATTCGACACAATTTTGGATAATGGTGTGTTCCATAATTGCATCTATGGAAAACAATTGCAAACATCTGAGTATTTGAAGTTACTCTGGATGGAACATGTAGACCAATTAAAGAAAAGAGGTGTGGACAGTAAACAGAAGAGTTGAAAATCTCATGTAGAAATCCAATGTCTGCATAAACTCTACGAGTACTCAGTTTTACTTTTTCTGTTATAGTGCGAACTTCTCTGTGTGTTTTCAGTTGAAGGTATCTTCAGTTTATGAGCTAGATATCCTATAAATTTGTTCTGTTATTTGTATTTTGTTTATATGGGTTTCATGTGTTGGCGACTACACACATAAGCAATACTCCATTATCAATCTAACCAAAGAATAACAAAGGGTTCTTATGGAATTAACACTGGTGAATTCTCTTGTGATTCTGTACACAAAGCCCAGCATTTTTGTCGCCTTATTGACAACCTGCTCCTAGTGGAGATGGAAATCAACCTTAGTGTCAAAAAGAACACGGAGGTCCCGAACAATATTTGTCCTTGTGGAAAGTTTGCCATTATGCTATAACCAAATTCATTATGTTCAAGTGATCAATAAAAAGACATAGCATTGCATTAATTTATATTCAGCTCCATTTTTGGAACACCATTTTACAATTGAGATGAGGTCTCTTTGAACATTATCACAGAGTTGTATGTTGATGACACGGCTAAAGATTTTAAGATCACCTACAAACAGCGAAAATTTTGAATGTTCAATATCATTAAACAGGAACGGGTCTAGGTGGCTTTCTTGTGGCACTCCTGACGTGAAGTAAATTTTAAATGAATGAAGAGGTGAAAATATTAACAAAATTGAAGTTATCTGTCACAATCAGAAATTTGTAAATATTTCGAATTCAATCAAGGATTCCATATACTATAATGGTGGTAAATTGTTCAATCATTTACCATTAGAAATTAGATCTGCAAATTTAAGCAACATTAATTTCAAAAAGGCGGTGAAGAACCTACTTGTTGATAGACCCTATTATAGTTTGGAAGAGTATTTTAGCGAATCCTTTCAACTATATATTAGCAATTTATTCTTTGTAGAACTTTTAGAACTTTTTTTTATATTTACATTTACACATTTTTGGAACTTGGACTTTGTCAATAAGATGCAAATCTTCAGACAATAAAGTATATTTGAATTAAATTATGTGATTCTTCGACAGATAACAACTATCCAGGAGAAATTCCTAAACTTACTCCGTGCAGATTTACTGGATCAGAGATTCGAGTACGCGATGATTCACTTCCTCTGGCACACATTGCTCTAGCTGTCGAAGGTGCCGGCTGGACGGATCCTGATACGCTTACTCTGATGGTTGCCTCTACTCTCTTGGGAGCTTGGGACAGGTCGCAAGCTTCTGCCAAACAAAACGCCACTACCCTTGCGAGGGCTAGTGGAGAAGGGGACCTTTGTCATTCATACCAAAGTTTTAATACTTGTTACAAGGTGAGTGTTTATTTAATTATTTAGATGAGAAGACCCCCTGTATAGAATAATTTCACATTGATACATATTTTAACCTAACATAATGAATATACTATCAATAAAGAGGTAATCAGAATGATAATTTTGATGTAGAGATTGTTTTTTCATTTAACTCAGGATGGTAGTTAAGCGGTGATAAGATGTGCCCCCGCTAAAGGGGTAGGTATACTAAGCGTCAACTAAGATGAGTCACTGCAGAAATTTGTAGTTCTTTTTTTTGTTTCATAAACCCTCACTTTTTACCAGTTTACAACATGCTGTTGTTTAGTATTGTAATTAAACACGTTTTCTTTTTTACAGGATACCGGTTTATGGGGTATCTACTTCGTTTCTGACCCATTGAAAATTGAAGACATGGTATTTAACATTCAACAAGAATTCATGAGGTTATGTACTAGTGTAACGGAAGGTGAAGTAGAGCGTGCTAAATCTCTCCTAACAGCTAATACCTTGCTGCAGCTGGATACTTCTACCGCTGTCTGTGAAGATATAGGTAAGAGAAAAAAGTATTTTCATGAAATTCGAGAAACGAAGCTTCCCATGGTTTTTACCACTTGTACTGCCGTTTCGTCCTATACAGACATTTTCATACGTATACAATAAACTAGGTACAATGCAATGAAAGTAAATACTGTTTAAAATATCTGTTTTTCCGTTAATCAGCTGTCGACCCTATACGAACAACTCTCAGAAGGTGAGAAACTTGTGCGAGCTAAGGACTAACGAGGTCTTACCTTTTAGCGTGTGATTCCTAACAATAAATACAATAAAAGTATTATCTCATCCAATTCTTTGTCTTTTCTCAAATATTGTTATACCTCTGGGCCCGAAGAAGCCGCTGTATAGCGAAACACATGTTGCGTTTTTATAAAACTGTTTAGTGAAAATCTCACAATAAAGTGTTCCTCGAACATGTTATTCGAGTACGCGATGGATTTGGCTGATTCCATCACAATAATAGAGAAATGATAGAGAACATAATAAATATTTCATTTGAGAAAAAAATTATATAGACATTTAAAATACCGTTGAATATGAATCTTCTAATGGAATCACTGTCTATGGGGCTCAACACAAATGACAAACTAGGAATAAGTGATTTTTGTTGGTAATGATATTTTTAATGTTGTGTTTTAATTAGTTTCTTCTAACTTATTACCCAAAAGAAGTACGGTTAGTCAAAAAATATCTAAAACTTACTCAGAGAAAAGTTGGAAGTTAGTGAATTTTAAATGAACCAGTTGGTGACAACCCTGTTGTTGCTGACTCATATGCTCTCGGATTTTGATGGGCGGATGATTCCATTGATTCACGGACGGTTTGTAACAATATTTAGAAATGTCTTCACGTTTTATTTTGTTTACAGGTCGTCAACTGTTGTGCTACGGTAGGAGGTTGCCTCCTCATGAATTGACCCACCGCATCAACAGTATCACAGCCAAGAACCTTAAAGACGTTTGCTACAAGTATTTGTACGACAGATGCCCAGCGGTCGCAGCTGTCGGACCTGTAGAGCAACTTCCTGATTACAATAGGGTCAGATCGCAAATGTATTGGCTTCGTGTTTAAAGAATAAGGTAACTTTTGAACTTACAATCTTCAAATAAATTATTCACTTGAACTAGTTCGTTAATTACCGATACAATTCTTTTCACTGTTCACATTCAAATAAAAGTGTGTGTAATAAATCGTTGTATGCGTTAGGACTGTAAATATTTTTTGTTGAGCCCTACTTTTATAAATAAAATGGAAATCAGTTGAGATTTTGATATTTTTCAGAGTTTTTCTTCTATTCCCAATTTTTTTTTCTTCTACGTTCACCTGATCTGTGCAGTTAAAAATTTAGAAAATAGAAGTGTACGTAAAATTTCGAACTGAGAGTCAGTTTCCCTTTTCCTCTTTCCCAAGCAATAGAAAATAAAAGGGTGAAGGTTTTCTTATGGGTTCAGGAAATTTGGATTCAATGAAAATATTTTTCTTGCACCTGAACTGTGGGACTTTTCTTGACAGTGGGATGATGCCAATATATTTTCGTTCAATATATAAAAAAAAAAACATGAAATTTGGAAGGAAGTCTATCAAAAAACAGTTATTAGGTTGATGTGCCCTCAGAATGGTTTGTAGGGTTCCTTGCCTCCAAATCAGCATATATGAGACGTGGAATAACATTCTGAGACAAGTGTACGAATTATATATTTAGCACAAATATACCCCAGATATGTTCAATGTAATACACCTCAAATATGTCAAATTTTTTATGAACTTGAAATAAAATTATATAGTTTGAAATTGAAAGCGTTATATTTTTAGGAGACATTCATTTTTGGGAAAGATTTTGCCTTTCTAAGGGACCGTTCAAACCTCTTCCCCCCCTTTCATGCTTACGTACACATTGTTATATTCATTTTTCAAACATAGACAATGTGTGGGCTGCCATATGTATAAAAAAATAAACAACTACTATCTACCCTCTATGTCATCAAAAATAAGCAAAAACCCTCCCCCCCTATAGTGCTTAAGTAATACTTGTACGCCCCCTAATTCTCCATCTTTATACCAAAAAATAAAGAATATTTCAAAGAAAGGAATGAGTAAATCAATTAAAAAAAAATAACTGAATAGAAAGATGTGTAGATCATGGAAAGTACCTTTCAGAGACAAACTGAAAGAATAGCTACAGAAAGTCAGATGATTTTAATGCCCCTGTGAATTTTTTCAAATGGTATACTAAATGGATTTTGTGAGACAGCAGATGGTTTTGAAAATTGCTGTAAACAATGAGGGAAGTATGAACGAAACAAGTTGAAGTCTATTCATATTAATTGAGATTCCGAAGTATTCAGTTTGTTTCGTCTAACATTGTGCATTCACAAAGTGAACCAGATGCTGTTCATGAGGTTGGAATGTCTTGGAAAGATTTCTGAGTAAGTATCGAAATTTATTAGTTTTTGCTATAAACTTAAACGCACTACAAATAGTGAAAATCTTATTTTGGATTTGGTTCACTTGAAAATTATACTACATTACTTATATGACATCTAGATCAGAGATGTTGCTGATACTTTTTTTAACATCTACTGTTGTGAATGGGAATGAAAAAATAAAGCCTTTCTGAATAGTGTGAACAAATGTTTAGCACTCACATATGAGAATGGTAACTAAAAATCCTAATATTTTTTCTGTACACAGAAAATTACATATGCTCATGAATATTCCCAGCGAACTGAGAATCACATGTTAGAAGACATGGAACTTGCAATTTCTTAACACCCATAAATTTTGAGGTTGCTGTTTCAACAAAGTTAGGGTTGAANATATGTTGCGGATTTTATGTGTGACACGGCTTATATGGAGATATCTATGAAAAAACTCCTACTTCTTTATGAATGGTATCATTCATTAGCTTCTACCGTCTCCAATATTCAACGGACTTTCAATTTCCTTAACAATATTAAACCACAACTGATATACCCAAGATAATGTTGTTATCTACCGAAGCTTTGGCTAAATCTTGGTAGCATTCTAGTACTAGCTCTGAGCTAACCGATATGCCTACATTCTCAGCGAATTGTCTAATAGTGATTCTACGATTTTCCATAACAATTTTCTTCACTTTCTGAACATTTTCATCGGTTGTTGATGTGCTGGGGCGTCAAGGGCGAGCGCCGTCATTCAATTCTTCTCGACCTTCTGTGAAAATTTTTCTGACTCAGAGTACAATCATCGTATGCCACTGGCAACATTTCAAGTGTTTTTGAGCACTCAATTTCATTGTTTACACAAATTTGACGCAAATTATTTGATCCACGTTTTTTGATAGCAAAAAATCGCCGAACACGCAAAATCTAACTTTTAAGACTCTCGCCAACAAACCAAACATGCTAAGCAGGTGAAACTGTGAACATAAGTTCGAGACGAGTGTACCAACATAAAAAATAAAAAAATCTCTAATCGAATGTATGTAGCCCGCGAAATTTGAACTTAAACCTAATTTTTTTGTTTACATGAGACAAATACAACGGTAGAAGGGTCGGGAGAGTTTTGTAGAACGTTATAAGACGCCTACATTATTCAGGATCAGGGCCGTAGCGAAAAGAAAAAACAGGGGGGGAGGGAATCCAAATTTTCCCAACTTCCGAAACAATGAAACATTTTCTTACTTAGCTATCCAAAGATTGGCTGAAAGCTTATGACCGTTAGGATATGCACACGGCGACGGCCCTGTTCAGGATAGCAATAAGTAAGTCATGTTTGATTCGATTAAAGAAATGTGTAGTCCATGAGTACAAGTATGCATATTTTCATATTATGTAGTATCAGCAGAGGCAACGAAGATTTCAGAAAGTATAACTGTGGTATAACAGAGGGTATAACAGAGGTATAACTGTGATTTGAATGGAAACCAGAAAATGTTACTTTTGGTAACACTCATATTTTGATGTTGTCTTCATTATAAGGAATATATTATAGTTGTATTTCGTTTATTTTATGTATAACAATGTTGTATTAATGCTACACACAGATATATGCGTATGGAAATATTCGTATATCCTGTAGTTTTTTATGTATAGGTACGTTACTGATGTTATAAATACATTTTATTTTATTTAAGGTGAAAATAGTATTTAAGTTTCAATTATGAATTTTATTTATTACTGATACTGAAATTGATGTTATCAAAACGTAGCATTAGGAACAGCTCTGTAGACACATACTCGAGTCTCTATATCCAAACCTGCCCCAAACTGCGAAAATTTCAACTGAAAATGGGAGTCGATTTGCATCCTTTGAAACTTTTTTAGAATCTCCTTACGATAATTGATGCCCATTTACTGAATAGGAGTCAATATAAATTGTTTACCAATTCGAATTCGACATCCTCAAAAAATACATAAGAAGTAATTTTGGAGAAGCCCGAAAACTGTTTCGTACTATTAGTTGGTCGTTTTTCGCTTGATTAGAGGTTTCCATATGTTACGTATCTCTACGCTAGCTTGACTAAATACGTTGTTGGACAACATATACGCGGCTTCTTTGAATTTTCTCCTAAACCAGTGTTCCTCTTTGTGGATTATTTCAGCTTGAGCCCACTTGATATTATGTTGATGAGTCCAAACATGCTCTGCTATTCCGGATTTGTTTTTTTCTCCTTGCTGTGTGTGTTTCTTGTGCTCAGCAATGCGAACTTTCAATGGCCTCTTGGCCTCTTAGTTTCACCGATGTATGATTCCCTCACTCGCAGGGTATCCGGTAAATGCAATTCTTGGAATCGCAGTCCGCGTTCTTCAGGGATTTCAAATAAATTTATATTATATTAGACAATTGAAGTCCGAACTGATGAAATACACCACGAAACATTGTCAACCACCTTCAAAAAAATGAAGTATTAGTTTTACTGAGAAAATAACCGATTTAGGAGTTATATAATTACTTTTATTGTAAAAAACGATTTCCAACCTTTTTCTTTAATTGGTTTTAGGGCTCTTCCAAAATTATTTCATTCCATGGGGTGTTTGGGATGCCTGATTCCGCATTTGAGTAATATATTCTATATCATTTACTTTAATCAAATATTGTGTTTTATGTTTTCTGTTATGCAACTAGGACTTACAGTAAACCACTGAAGTCAACACTACATGAAATCGAAATCTGTTTCTCAGTTAATCAGCTGTCGCTACCATACGAACGACAATATCAGAAGTTGAGAAACTTGTGCGAGCTAAGGACTAACAAGGTCTCACCTTTTAACGTGTGATTCCTAACACGGTTGCAGAATCATCCCAGTTTCAACCAGATAAATTCTCCCGAGAAAAATATCTGGTCGAGGCGGGAGTAGAACCCACGGCCTTCCGCGCACTACCACCGCGGCCAATTCCACAACTATGTATAGGTACATGTTATGTATTCCTAACTTTAGTTTCGCCTTAAATTTTGATAGATTTTTTTGGCCATTCACCTTGATTGACTGATTCATCAATTTCTCCTCGTCTCGCCTTCTCACCAGTTTACTCCTTCTTTTTTCGTTCATGTTCTTCCATTTCATCTTCTTTCTTCCTTCTTTTCTTTTGTTTTTCGATGTCTTCTTTTCATTTTTTTTTCGATGTCTTCTTTTCATTCCTTGTTCTAGTTATTTTAGCAACCTCTCTTGGTCTTCTTCCATTTCTTATTTTCCTGATTCTTCCTTTCCATTTTTCATTTTCGCCTTATAACTCCTATACCTATTCATCATATTGTACCATTTTGAGTTTTTTCATATTTTATTAAAAGTACCAAGCAAAAAGTATATGTAGCTAGTGTTATTTGAAGATGGTGAAGCATTCAAAAGATAATATAACCAGTTTTGAGGAAACGTCAAATCACTCCTTCATACCACTGAAATATTAACTTCGGACCGACCCTGTTAGTACGTTTTGTCTATATTTTCGTGTTACACTCAAGAAACTAGCACAGACCTTTTCACTATATAATGCATATTTTTTTATTGAAGGGGCCTCATTGGGGTAAAAATAAACTGATAGAATTCTCAATATCAACAGTACACAACTTAACGTTGAAGCATGCACAAGTTTTTTCATTATAGGTACGGAGCCTTCTACCCCCATGCAGCCACGCCAATGTGTTGCCTTACCAGGTATAAAGTATTGCAGATAAAAACAAATATAAACGAATAATCTCATAAAAACATCAATTGTTGGAAACCAAAACCAGTTATTGGCATTATTCCGTTAGATTTCAACATCTACCTCTCTGTAAATCATTTTTTTAATCAGCTCAAATCTCGGCTGTTGATTTTATTGATTTTTTCGCTCCCATACCTGTAATCCTCCCCTATCCCTTGATCGAATAGAGTCGCGGGTATTCTCTTAGAAAGTCGTCTCAATTGACTGGAAGGCTGTAGAAAATATGCGCCTCCGAATTAAATAAATTATAAATATAAGTATTTGAAAAGAAAATCGGTTACGAGTAGAAAAGGACGACCAATTGTTTATTTTCCTTGAGGACGAATTCTATTGGTTGTGCATTTTTGGCGGGTAGCGAAAGCGACCTCATCGGAACGCTTTGGAACGATCGGCATAGCTGTCTTGTGTGTCTGTTTGGTAAGTCGATTTATTTACTACTTCCTTATTTAATATAAAATCAGAGGAATTTATTGGGATTGTGTCGAATTATTACCAGATATTAGTTTTTTCACTCGAATTTAAGGTGGTGTTGTTTTGCATCTCCGTAATATACTTTTGGCGCAATTAATTAAACAACATTCATATCGAATTTATTTGCCAGCCATGGCCGACATGATTTCATGCTTCTCGAATAAGTTGGTTTGGTTTCGATGTTTGAAAATTAATTTCGCTGAAAGTATTTGTTGGTTCTTGACGATTTTTGTCTCAATATTTAGCTAATTTTTTTATCTTCACTTTGAGATGTTGTTTTCTGCGGTACTTGTGGTATAAACAGCGGAAAATATTAGGGTGTTGGCGAGAATTTTAATAATGTATTATTTTAAGCATTTGAGAATGGCGCGCGCGGCATTTGTTCCTTTCGAATGACGCCGTCTTAGAAATTGATGAATAAATGTTACGAGAAGCTTTATTGTTCCTTACTAAAAGTAAATAACTCTACAATCTGTATTTTAGACTTCGATGGCATTTTTATACAGATTGATACGGTCTGACAGGAACCCATTTTCCATTTTTTATGCTTATCTTTCAACTTTGCTCGACTGGTTCTTGAACAAAATTTGGGAAACATGGATGAATCGAACGCTTACATTTAACAAACTTTATATACAGAAGGTATTGATTTTTCTTAAGTCTAATTTTCGATTGTTCACTGCATATACATCCAGTTTAAATTTTTTTCGTACGGTTGTACCTAATTAAGAGCTGTTTATTCATTTTAAGCAGTAGAATTATCAAGTGAAATGATATGGATGATAAAAAATAACTGAATACGGGATGCGTGGTAAGCAAAATAACAGCAACGCCATATGAAGTAGTTTATGGTGTTGACATTATTGCTTGACGCGCCGTGTGGATGTCCTTTTCTTTTTTCATCAATTAATTTCAATTTCAAGGTCGAACGTAAATCGTTTTCAAGGGAGATGAAGGATTATTTTAGGTGAACATTCACTGAACTGGAAATTTCGGTAGGATCGTTAAATAAATTAATGAATTCCAAATAGAAATATTTATAGTCATTGAACTAATCTGTATACACATAATTGAATATCTTTATCCATGTAATAGATTTCAAATGACCCCTTAGAAAAGTCCAAAGTAGTCAAGTCCGGCGAGCGAGCTGGTCACTCTGTTTGCATCATTTTGACCAATCAACTTATCAAGATATCTGTTGCTTATTTTTGCTTACTTGCTCTGCTCAATGTGGTGGGGCTCTTTCCTGCTGATAATTCAACTTATTTTCGTTTTTCAATTTGCGCATCGACTCAAAGTAGAGCTTTGACCGTTGCAGCGTCGCCTTTGATAATGTCTGCCGCAGTACCAGACGAAACGTCAGGTATAAAAACCTGCAGATCACGGCTAATAAACCCGGAAATATTGCACAGTTTGCCAGACATTGGCCGGGAAAGCCTACACACTATGTTAAGTTATTTTAATATGTGACTTTTATACTCCATATCAATCTTTTGATTTATTTTCATAAAAGAACTATTTCTATTTTATCTAAGTCATTCCACTGTATGTAAGTTACGATATGGTTTGATGTGGAAATTTCTGACTAAAAATTGTAATGATTATGGAATAATTTTATTAGGCGATAATGTTTATATGATTCAACCTTTTTCCAGTATTTCCCATAAAAACTTTAGCACAAAATGTCTGATGACGCTTCTCCCCCTCCGGCGAAACGTGGCCGAAAATCAAATGCCGAAAAAGCAGCAGCCGAAAAGAATGACAAAGCAGTAGAATCTAAGAAAAGGGCGAAAAAGGTAAGAATATTTTACTTCTGATATGAAGAATAGTTTTTAACTGAGTTGTTCGTAATTTTAATATTATATTTGTGAGTTTTCCTTGAATTCATTTGATAGATATTTTCTGTTATCTCTTCAGAATTATTGGGTTTCAGAAAAACCTTTGATTTCATTAAAAATTTTATTAGTAGGAAAACCTTCTGACGAATCAAAATCTACTTTTATGAAATAATCACATAGAATAGAATAGAATTTATCCATCATTAAAATATCATACACATATAACATATACATTACTGGTACAATATTTATCAGACTAGTCACATAAACTGAAGAAAAAGCAGTTTATGCATTCAAATCTAAAAATTCTTCATAACAATCAGTACTTTAGTCATTAACTTCATTAATGGAATTCCAAGTTTAGGTACTTGGATGTGGGATTTTTGAACTTTTCTTTATAATATTTTTTTCTGTTTCTCCAACACATTTTTTACTGATTCATTGCAATGTAATTTCTGTAATAAATAAATTATCAACTGTTCATCTACAATATCAATGCATATATTTTGGACGTTTGTTTGAAGGTGATTGACAATGTTTCGTGATGAATTTCACTAGTTCGGATTTCCATTGTCTATTGTATAAAATGATTTGAAATCCCTGAAACAAGTAAAAAAGAATAATTAAAAAAGAATAGCTGAAAATAACAATTATATTAAGCAACAATAAACCTGAAATGAAATGATAGTGCAATAACCTACTAGTATATAATAATTGAATAAATAAAATTAAAGGAATGAAAAAAAAAAAATAAAAATAAAAAGTGGAGAGATTCCAAGTCACGTTAGTTCACGACGTTTCGATTGTTGGTATCTACAATCGTCTTCGGGTGATGACCACGTTTCGATTGTTGGTATCTACAATCGTCTTCAGGTGATGACTGTTATTTTCAGCTATTCTTTTTTAATTATTCTTTTTTACTTGTTTCAGGGATTTCAAATCATTTTATATAGTAGACAATGGAAGTCCGAACTAGTGAAATATATTTTGGAATTAGTAAATATCAAACCATGTTGACCTTGATTCATGTGATTTTTTATTTAAAATCAATGAGCTCTAGCTCAACTCTGCTCAAATTTTCAATCAATATCAAAAAACTGTTTTTCCAGCGAATTTCAATCTAGAGTCCTTGAAGCAAATACAGGTTTTTGTTATAGAAAACACTATAGCACTAATGACATTCTTGGTAACTACACATACAGTTCTCTAGAATAATGGTTGTCATAAAGTTGAGATAATCTAATACAGGTAAAAATTCTATATAGTTTTAATAGTTTGCATTACGAATCCACTTCAGTATAACTATGGTTTACGTGTTTATTAGAATATATGGTACTATAGTATCATACCGTTATTTAAATGGTTTTCTACATTTCAACTCAAAAAATAGTGGTCATTAAAAAAAGATCTACTTCTCCAAATGTTGAAGAGATTTCATGAATAAAAAATGTAGGTCAATCATCACAGATTGATCTACATAGCAGTAAAGCAGGACTTCACTATGTTTAACGTAGTGGCTACTGAATTTCACCTTTTAGGTTACCAATTAGGTGTAAATGAATGTAAAACACATTTATTTCGTTTTCCATGCTGTTCTAATTCAAAAATAATATTATAATATAGAAATAGGAAGAAAGATCTATCAAAAACAACAACTATCCTACGTGTATTGAATTAGAACACCCTCACTTTGTTGTAAATTTTTGTAAAATGTATTATTTTCTTAGGAAACAAAAGAAGTTGAAGAGGATGGTGCATCTGCAGTGAAAAGAGGCAGGGGCAGGCCAAAGGGCACCACAAAAAAGAAGGCAGTAGCAAAACCCAAACCTAAAGCAGCAGGTAATAATACATTCCGTATTCTCCCAGCTTGGTATTTTCCCATACCCCATTTTTTGTGAGAATAGGGCTATAAAAAGGGTGCCCATTATACCACCTTTTTTGTTGACGCTCACAAGTAATAAATGTTCTCATGAATAATTTGATCCTTGACAATATCCTTGTTCTTAAAGGACGTGGACGTGGCAGACCAAAGAAAAAGGATGAGGAACCCAAAGACTCCGAAGAAGAAGAGGGTGAGGAAAATGAGGAAGGAGAGGAAGAAGATGATTAAACTAGTTTAGTTTAAGGACAAATGGATTCACGTCAACCTTAGAGTCTCGGTTGTTATTTACTTTGTATATTATTTCGAGGTCATGTTCATTTCTAGAATAATCATTCCACATGTTTCGTGCCATCACTTTGAAATCATCCTATGTTTATTTAAGTTTTATAGGGTTGACTGTCCTACAATAAATTAGTTTGTAAGTTATGTAATTAATATCCTAGATATTTATATTGAAATTAGTCTGAATTTGTGTTTTCGTGTCTTGTAAGATCATCTGATCACTGTCTATCCATGAAATCTGGTTCAATAAACTTCTAAATTTTCAGATGATTGTATTTTTCATGCATTTACTTGTCCTGCATTTTTCTTAATTGAAGTAACTCTTTCAAAGCAGTTGTGGGAAAGTGAACTATTTGTATTATAATTGATGATTTCTGTTTATTTTCTGGTTGTTATGTAAATCTGTGAGATACATTCATAAAGTACAAATATTGGTTACACCAAAATTAACACAGACACATTGGACAAATAACAAGAGATGTGTTAAAGTCATTGGAAGGCAAGGTATAATAAAAACAGATTTTCCTTGGTTTTAATTTTGAATGAATTTTTTCACATATAGTCAGTGGGCATACTTGAAGACTGGCTATAAATCAAATTATTCAAGAACAATTCGTTAAGGCCAGTCTCAACTCCCTACACAGTAGGTTAATGGACTGACACCTATCAGAAAACAACTACTCCCCTGGCTAATACCACGAAGGGCGTTGAATTATATTCGACAGGTGTCAGTGCAGGATTCTTCACAGTAGTTATTCCTGCATATGCTGTTGGCGATACAACTGCTGCAATAGATTTTCAATTATTGGAACACACTTGCAGTAGTGTGTTCCAATAATTGAAAATCTATTGGGGCAGTTGTATCGCCAACAGCATATGCAGGAATAACTTCTGTGAAGAATCCTGCACTGACACCTGTCGGATATAATTCATCTCCCTTCGTGGTATTAGCCAGGGGAGTAGTTGTTTTCTGATAGGTGTCAGTCCATTAACCTACTGTGTAGGGAGTTGAGACTGGCCTGAATGAATTGTTCTTAGATAATTTAATTTTGAATGAATGCTTGCTTAAAATGGATTTCAGTTCAACCAGGAGATAATTTAGCAATTTGATGGCTCTATACTCAGCCTCCATTTGAAATCAAGCGAATCTAAAGAGTGATATTCCCTAAATTGGATGAACGCCCATTCATGTCCCTTTGTGTATATGTCCATATTCCTTGCAAAAAGATGGGGGTTATTCTCAACAACTAGAAAAATTATCTATTAATGTGAATTGAGGGAATTGGCAGTCCCAAGTTTGAAGAAAAGTGGTCTGCACCATTCCAGATAACCTGGTCCTGTCATAGAAGCGCATTGTAAGGAATACAATGCACTTTTATGCCACAAAAGCTTTTATGGCATATTAGGATTTCCCCAAAAGGTCAATCCGTAGCTTAGAATTGACTATAAATGTCAATTGACTATAATTGTCAACTGAACCTCTCAATTGATGAATTGCATAGCATATTATGTTCAGCTTTCCCAAAGAATTTGAAACGTGCCTTTCAACAGCAGATTTTGACCCAAGTTCAAGTAGAACATTGAGATCTGGTTGAAGTGTTACTAAATTGAACTCAAATTGCTTCATCAACATTCAGGCAAAGGTTGTTACAAGGACACCAGTCTAACATCTCATTTGCCAACTTTGTTGCATGTACTGAGAGAGGATGAACTCTGAGGTATGTGATTGACATATATCACAAAAAAACACCAACAGAGGGCCCAAAATGGATCCTTGGGGAACATCCAAATTGATATTTGTAGTGTCTTTTGTCTTTGACAAGTGCTTGAACTAAAAGTAACGTCAAAAGTTCTTAAAGGTTCATAAATCACATTCTGATCTTCTAGTGAACATTTTTTAGAAAGTCAGTAGAAACCACAGTAAGGAAACAACATTTTTTTATGGTATATTTTAATAACTATATTTTGTTCATTAAGGAAGGCCCAGTATATGTTTCAATTGCAATGCAATAAATGCTCAATAATAATATAGGAGAAAGAAATTAACTTTCGTCTGATTTCTACTACGCAGTACAAATTAGACAAAAGTTATTTTCTTTATCCTATAGTCAATATGAATTTCTACAAAATAAATATGTCATCATTCAAACAAGCTCAATAATAATAAGTTGGAGAAAGTAAGAGCACTTGATAGAACAATTTTCTTTACTAGGTTTGACTTTGTTTCTACTCTATCAACTGCTCCATCAGGAGTTTTCTCATCACATCACGAAGAAATGTTCATTTTATCTAAAACAGATGTAGATAATATCAATCCAGCTCATATCACTGTTGTTTACTGAGTCTTGTTCTTTCTTGTTCTTGGAGAGGCTCAATGAACTGAATAGGTTTGTTTGAAGGTGATTGACAATGTTTCATGATGAATTTCACTAGTTCGGACTTCCATTGTCTATTATATAAAATGATTTGAAATCCCTGAAACAAATAAAAAGAAGAATTGAAAATGAATGGCTGAAAATAACAATTATATTAACCAAAATAAACCTGAAATGAAATAATAGTGAAATAAAATGCAAGTAAAAATAGAACAATTGAATAAATTAAAATAAAAAAATGAAAAAAGAAAATAAAAATTAAAAGTGGAGAGATTCCAAGTCACGTTAGTTCACGACGTTTCGATTGTTAGTATCTACAATCGTCTTCGAGTGATGACTGGACTGGTTCCTCCGAGAGATGACTATTTATAGGTCGTTCGAGTACTTTCACTTATCCCCGCTTTCCATTTTCCGCTTCACTGGTTCCGTGGGAGATGACCGTTTTGGCGGTAGTTGGCCATTTTTCGCTTGATGATGGGTTTCCATATGTTGCGCATTTCTACGCTGGCTTGGCTGAATACGTTGTTGGACAACATGTATGCGGCTTCCTTGAATTTTCTCCTAAACCAATGTTCCTCTCTGTGCAAGATCTCAACTTGGGACCACTCGATGTTGTGTTGATGGGTCCAAACATGGTCTGCTATTCCTGATTTGCTGGTTTCCCCTCGCTGTGTGTGTTTCTTGTGCTCGGCAATGCGAACATTCAATGGCCTCTTAGTTTCACCAATATAAGATTCTCCACACTCACAGGGTATCCGGTAAATGCAATTCTTGGAATCGCAGTCCGCGTTTGGTGGCCTGGTTTTCGTGAGGCTGGTACGGATAGTGTTACCGGGTCTGAAGCAGGTTCTGATGATGTACTTGGAACCAATTTTTTTTATACTCTCCGATAATCCTCTGATGTAGGGAAGTGCAGCACTGGTTGTGATGGCTTCTCTCAGGGATTTCAAATCATTTTATATAATAGACAATGGAAGTCCGAACTACTGAAATTCGAACTGAATAGTATAACAACCGTTCTCTTTGGAAGCTAACCTAAATAATGAAGGATATTTGAATTTGCTGAATAATGTCAAGCATGAACAACGCCATCCAGTTAGATCCTCTATTGCTGAATGGGGTACGTTTTCAACAAGATGGGGCTCCTCCTTATTGCGTAGTACCCGTACGACTATTCCTCGATTATAACTCTCCGCTTCGTTGGATTGGAAGGAAAGGTTCTACAGAAGGGCCATTTAGATTTGACTCGCCTCTCGACGAACCATTTCGGAATCTGCTATACAACATGCAGTAAAAAACTGAAATCTTTGCATGGATGGTAGTAGGTGCTGAGTAGTTTTTCCTATAAGTAAGTGTTCAGCTCATCCAGTCCTGGAGCGTCAACATTTTTCGTACACACAAGGGTTTATTGTGTACAGATAGAGCATGAAGCTTCAAACTACCGTAGGACTGGAGTGTTTGGATTCAGTGGATAGAAGAATTAAATAGAATTCATCCTCTCACTCTTTAGAATTTGTATCCTCTCAAACCAGTGCTGTTGGTGGTAAGACTTGGTGGATACGAGAGCGGGTTGTCTTGGCGATTTCATCTTATCCCCTCCATCTTGTGTATACGTCATTCAAGTTTCCAAACTGGGAACCTCTCAAACCATCTTTAACGTTGAGAAAATTATGCGGTGTACATATCAATGTAAATTTACTTTGCCTATTAACATCTTATTTAGGAATATCATGAACCTATACATCTTTCAGTCTCAAGTTTTGAACTTGTACACAAGAGGTTTCCAATACACGCTCCTTAGACATTGAATTATGGTAGTGAAGTGTCCGATCTGTTTGCAAAGCACTTTTCATCAGTTTACACAACTCTGAATCTAAATCCTTATTTGAATGATGTTGAATTTGAATCAAAACTTAACCTCTTCTCTTACCACATTTCAATTTCAACCATTTACGAGAAATTATCTAATCTTGACATAAAGAAAAGTCCAGGTCCTGACATTATTCCACCTGTTTTACTCAGAAATTACAGCTTCGTTTTGTCTCGCCCCTCTTCTATATTTTCAATAAGTCTATCCAGTCTGGTGTGTTTCCAGATTATTGGAAACAATCTTATGTCACTCCAATATACAAATCGGGTACTAAGTCAGACGTTAACAATTACCGACCGATATCTGTTCTTAGTACAATTCACACACAAGGATAATAGTACAAGGATAATAGTACAAAATTGTAATTTGAAAACAAATTTCTAAAACTAACGGTGAATAAATTTACATTTCAGATATATCAAGAACAATACAGGCCCTAATACCGTGTCTTGGGGTACACCACATGTGATTTCTTGTTCTTCACTTTCACTATCTTGTATTCGTACTTTCTGTTTTCTGTTCTTCAAATAACTTCTGAAAAACGAATGTGCTGTAACCCTTATTCCCAAATCTTCAAGTGTGTCCAGAAGAATGGAATGATCCACGGTATCAAATGCCTTGGCTAGGTCTTGGCTAGGTCCCAAGATATTTGAGAACATCATAACAGAACAACAGTATGGTTTTTGTGTTGGGAAATCGACCGAATTAAACCTAGTTACCTATTCCCACTTCCTGTCGGAATCTTTGGAGAAGGGCTGCCAGATTGATTCTGTGTACACTGACTTCTCTGATGATAATGAGGGTAATGAAAATTTTATTATATCTGAAGAAATGGAAATAAATGTCCTCACGAGGTTGGAAATGATAAAACAGTATCTCTTAGGTAGTTGGCGTTTGAGTTGGATATCAGTCGTTAAAGTGTAAGAAGAATTTAAAAAAAAACACAAGTATCGATCTTTCTAATATCAACTTCAACAACATCTGCATGACGCCGATAGCGTAAGAAGGGTGGAATATTGC